GAGCTACCCACCCAGTCAGAGTAAAAGAGGAGCAGCAGGAGGAGACAAGCAGGCCTGTGGATTCCATCTCAGTGCACAGCATAGTTACTGACAAAAACAAAACAGAGTGTCAGCAAGTAAAAGACAACCTCTTCCTCCAAAAACCCAGCTCGTTACCTAAGCTTAGCAAGCTGCTGGAAAAAGCCAAAATGGCTCAGAATTCAGACAGCAATCCTCAGAGCACTCCTTCTGCTGAAATTCCTGTCACTGCACATCACCCCTCTTATCTAACGTCACAGATGGATAAAACAGATACTTCAGTGCCATCTTTGCTTACTGCCAACCAGCTCAAACACAGTCACTGGGTGACCTGCAGCCCTCAGTCCATCCTTAATTATGACCAGCTGTCCAAGATATTGACTGAAAAAAGCAATGAGTGGTTTAGCCTCCTGCCTCGCTCTCCCTGCGATGGGTCCTCTGTGACCTCTGGCTCCAGTCCTTCAGCTTCCTCCTCCTCTCCACCCTCCATCAGTAATAAACTGCCCTCCTTCCTCTTTCCTACCTCCCCTTCGCCTGCAAGTTGCAACACAACAGTGGCGATCGATAACCTCCAATTATCTATCCCTCAGGTTGGTGGACTGCAATAATTTCATCTCTGTTTCAGTTGTGAATACTTGTTCTATGTGTCATTACTTTCCTTTAGTTAGAATTCTGTGAAACGCTCTATACAGAAAGTCTTTGCTATAGCTATTGCTTTATACATTAAGCACACAGTAGCATGGTACAGTTGTCGTCTGATCAGAATATGTACACTTTTTTCTCCTCAGCAAGTAAAGTCTGGCATTCATCAGAGCAGACTGACACCATCTGACATGTTCTGCCTGACAACATGTCCCGACCTGTCCCTCTCTGGCACTTCCATACCCACCCAGCATGCAGAGGGTAATGGGAACAAAGCCTTCTTTCTGACAGATAATAACTCTGTTAACACGAGTGAGACTTCAGAACCCCAGAGTGGCAAGCCCTCATGTGCCTCATTCTCTTCTACGGTGGCTGTCAAGACCCAGGACTACCCATGTCCAAAACCCATCCCTGAGGGTAAGATTAGTGTATGCCAAAGATAGCAAATGGAATGCATGCTGCGATGATAGTCTGTCCAACAACCTAATTATTTTTGCTAACTTGGAGAAAAAAAGTATTTGTATTAAAACTTTTTGTGTTGTGTGTGTTGGCAGAGATGCTGCACGGCTGGTGGTGTGTGTCAGGTGTGGAGAACCTGCATACTTTGATCAAGACTCTCCATAGTCGGGGCATTAGAGAAAAAGCTTTGCAAAAACAGCTTCAGAAACAATTGGAGCACATCACTCAGCTCTTTCCCAACAGCAACAATGGTTTGTTTCCATTACCTCGCTCACACGACTGTGATAAATAAAGTGTCTGCATTTTAAACAAAACACTCCTATGCATATGTGTTTGCAGAATCTGACACGATACCAGTGCAAAAGCAGGGGGTAAGCATGGAGACAGTGGAGAACTGGTGTGTTGAGCAATGGGCAGTGAAGGTAGACATCAGCCTGCTGCGACAGGTGGAAGACCTGGAGAAAAAAGTAATCTCTGCCGGCCTTCAGGTCAAAGTAAGTGACTCCTTACGCAGTTATCTGGTTACAGCTCATAAACGAACCAATGTCCATCATCGTTGGGTTATGATGGCTATGTTTCACTGTTCTCTCCATCAGGGATGGGTGCCAGATAAGCCCCAGTCAGACAGTAAAGATCTGGCCTATCATGAGCACAAACTCTACTCGTCCCCAGCTTTGGAAAACAAGGGTCTGAAAGAAATCCGCCAGGAGGACTTTCTTGGTTCTATAGTACGGTGGCCCAACAATCCTCTCGATATAGCGGTCACCAGACTGGCAGAGCTTGAGAGGAACATTGAACAAAGGTAACTAAAGGGATTCCAAACTTTAACCGTTCAATTCAGAACTTTTAATAAGTCACACTTGGATTTGGTATAAGAAATGGTGTGAGCATCCTCTCCATGCTTCCCATTTTTTAAACGCTGACTGCCTTTCTGTGCCTTTACAACAGAGAGGACGATGTGGGTCCTGGAATGAGAATGTGGCGCAAAGCTCTCAGCCAAGTGTGCAGCTCAGCTCAGCTGTCTCTCTGCATTCAGCAGCTCGAGAAATCCTTGGCTTGGGAACGAGCCATCATGAAAGTGGTCAGTGCAACCTGACTTCTGTCTCTTTATTCAGAGATTTCTTCCCCCATTTTATTGTGCATATACATGTGAGATTTGCATGCATAAATTGTTAGTTGGTTTGAATGATTTAAAATGTAAAAATAAAGGCAAGATTGTTTTTGGAGATATCAACACTAACACTAGATGATGACACACTAACAAAAACACTCACTCAGCAAATCAGCACTCACTCTGCTCACTCGGAATTGTGCAGAAATGATTGCTACTGTGCATATGGCATAAAATGCTGTACATTTGGTTGTTCTTAGCACTGCCAGCTTTGTCAAAGAGGAGATAACGAGGAGCTGCTATTACTTTGTGATGGCTGTGACAAAGGCTGCCACACTTACTGCCATAATCCCAAGATCACCACCATACCTGATGGAGACTGGTTTTGTTCTCTCTGTGTGGCAAAGGTACATCATCAGGCTTCATGAGAGATTAATCACGAATATGATAGTCTTTTTTATGTTATTCTTTTCAGCATTTTTCTCCCAAGGTTTTTACTGTCACATTGTTATTTTAAGTCTTTTGTCGTCTTGGTTTTTTTCTGTTATACAGGAAAGAGGTACCACTCCTCAGAGTATGAAGCAACAGAGCCGAACAGCTGGAGGAGGGAAGAAATGTGGTGAGGTCAAACGAAATTGTACACCATCTGTAGGGGGAGAGTTCATTATTAAAGAGGATGCCAGCAGAGACAATGTGCCAAAGAGAGGTACCAAGGAGTGTAAAAAGAAGAAAGGAGATGACAGCTCCCAGGCAAAGAGCGACAGCTCTGTCGCCTGTGCAAGAAAAGCCAAAACGGCCAAGGACAATTGCAATTGGCTGGGAATGTGCCAGTATGTACAAGCACATACACAATTAATGAAACGAAAACACACAAATACTTATATAGCTTTTTGCCTTTGTGTGAAAATTCTTCCTCTAGTGAATCAGACAATGATGTTTAGCTTGCTGTGTTTTGTCACGTTTGCTCCAACAGGTTGCTGCTGGCTGAGCTGGAGGCCCATCAGGACGCATGGCCCTTTCTAACTCCGGTGAACCACAAAGCTGTCCCTGGATACAGAAAGGTCATCAAGAAGCCCATGGATTTCTCCACCATCAGGGAAAAGCTCACCAACAACTTGTACGTATTTACATTAAAAAACATAATTAATAGCTTTACAGTTTTGTTTTGAATGCTGCTGAACAGTTTCTGTCAAAATCCTTTCTCATGATTACAGGTACTTGAATCTGGAAACCTTTATAATTGAAGTGAACCTGGTTTTTGATAACTGTGAAAGATTTAATGAGGACAACTCCGAAATTGGACGAGCTGGTCACAATATGAGAAGATTTTTTGAAAAACGATGGACTGAACTGCTGAAGTGAAATAAAAGAGAAAATGACAATGTTGACTCAACAATCAACATATCAGACTCCATTTCAGAACTGATGGGCAGTGTAAAAGGACAGGAACCTGGACTTAACTTTGGTGGAGAAAACACACCTCAAGGATTTATACCTGCAAGTGCAATAGTGTTTTTGTTTAATAAAACACTCAACAATACCCACATACTCAAGTCAGTGTTGTATTTTTAAATCATTGATTTCTACTGTGTGCTGATGATAATATTTCTATCCTTATAGCTCTGTGAGTGTATTTATATTCTCAAGTATTTCTGTTGTATTTTGTGTTTTTTCTTATAAAGAAAGAAAGAAAATGGTTTAAAGCTTAATTTAAAGAAAAACTTAATATTGTTATGTGGGCTGTGAAATACCATGGTGATTATTAACTTCCTTTTATCGTGAGGTTTTCAGCTGGGCAATTGTTCATCAGCAGTGTGATTTAATGCGTAAAATACAACTAAGGATGTAAAACATGGAGTGTTAATTCTGTGACTTGTAAGTCCTATTTATTATATGTATATATAATATTATTAGTATGAACCCAGAACATAGTTTTGATCAAGACTATGTCAGATACATACCTATGACTGTAGCACTATTACTATCTTAAAGACGTCCTCAGTATTGCCGTGCCTAACCCTCTGCCTTCTGAGGATGATTTTCAATACTCAGTGTATCTTGTGTCTTGCACAGTATGCTGTAGGAAACATTTACACAAACCTTTTACCTGAAGTGATGCGCTGCACATTACTGTCACTAATCCCCTGGCATTTGCTTGTTTTGCTGTGGACAGAAGTGAGGCGAGTGCTTGATTTCCACTCATTTGGAGTCCAATGTGGCCCAGAGAAAGTCAGAGGACCCTCAGTAACTGTAATTTATTATGACTATTGTGGAATGAGTAGTTAATTTTGTAGGTATATTATTTTTAAATGAATGTCTGAATGAAAAGAAATAAATGTTTGTTTTTTTAACTTTGATAATTCCGCCAACACATTTCTATTTACTCTTCGAACCTTCTGCTATCTTTACTTAGTTTTTTGCACTTTATGCTATCTGTTCCAGGATAATTTTTGAATTACATAAAATGACTAAACTTTGAACACACTGGAGCAATAAGTGTGGATCACATGACTGATAACAGCTGTGCGAGATTAACTGATTTGATCTGTGAGCTCGAAGACGAAGCAGAGAAACAACAAGACGAACGAGGGCCAACAAGTTTTTTGTCAAGGCAGTTTTCTGTCTCTACTCTTTTTAAACGACACTGTGGACAGCAGGCTGTCTCACATGCTGCTCGTCAGCTTCTTTGTCTTTTTTAAATATTTTGGCATTTTGCGCCACCTCGCGAGCGAACTGTTTACTTGGCCGAGCGTGACGCATCTGTCACAAAATGGTGACCCTGCTTCGCACGCTACGAAACCACGCAGACGAGGTGAGCTGCTGCGCCTTCTCTGCGGCTCTGCTGGCCACCGGCTCAGGTGACAAGACTCTGCGCGTTTACAACACGGCAGACTTCTCGGAGCTTCCGTTCTCTCCTCTGACTGGTCATGGCTACGGGGTCCACAGCTGCTGCTTCAGCTCCTGCGGCGGCTTCCTGCTCAGCTGCTCCACGGACGGCTCCACCATGGCGTGGAACACGCACACAGGTGAGCTGATTGCGGCGCTCGCGCACCCGGCCCGCAGTCCGCTCCGAGTTTGCGCACTGGCGCCGGACTCCTCCCTGTTGCTGGCTGGGGCCTGCGACGGCACCGTGGCGCTCTGGAACTTCCACTCTAAAGCGCTCCTCAGGTATCGTGTGCCAATGTCTAACAACGACACCTCGATCAGTCTAGTTAGTTTATGAACGGAAGTTAGATTTAGCCTGAGAATGCTCCTTAATAAGCTGTCGAAATGTCAACTTTTGAGAGATTAATTTGACTTCATTTAGTGCCTACTTGTATAGTATTATTTTGAACAAGAGTGATGTGTGTCAGTTTTTATTGTCAGTATTAGTGGAACATTAGATTTATTTGATGTACTCTGGGCAACACAATGTGACTTTACCATTAAGCAAAGCAGTGTATTATGACATAAGCACACCTTTTAGATGAGTATTTGAGTATTGAGTATTTTAGAGCCTTCAAACTGCAGTTACACAGGTGAAAAGTGAAGCTTTAAGCATCATCTCACAGCCTTCATCAGCAGATGGAGTCATTGCACATTTGTCTGTTTTTCTTCATGTTCTTGAGGTAAACAAAACGAGGATCAATACTGATTGATTGAATGACGGTGAAAAATCTTTGAAATATATTGCAGAATAAGTTGTCTTTTGCTCTTTCCACAGATGCTGTGGGGTGGGTGAGGCCAGTGTAGTGGCTTGCTGTTTCTCTCCTTGTGGCCAGATGTTTGTGACTGGCTGCACTCATGGGGACCTCAAACTCTGGGACATTGACATCAGCCTCCTTCTTGCTCAAAAGGATGCTCATGACCTGGGAGTCAGCTGTTGCAGTTTTGCACCTCAGTTTAAAGTTGGTGAGTTTTTATTTGCACAGTCAAGTGCTAAAAACTATTTTTAAAATTTTCAGAACATGATGTGGGGGAAATTTTTCTATCAAAATATTATTTTTTGCTTGTGTAGCACAGTCAATGTGTCCTCTCCTCTGCTTGGTAAGTCCTGAAGGTTTCCTGCAGTCAAATAGTGATCAACATTAGACTGTCTAGCAGTCCTGCAGGCAGTTGTCATGGAAAGTCCTAAAGCCTGCTAGAGTTTAATATGGCATACTGTTTTCTGCTGTCTCCTGTTTCCTAATTGAATAAGAAAAAGAGCGGAAGATTTTTTTTGCCTGCTTTTTCTTGCCTCCAAGTGCTTTTATAAGCATTAATTATTCAACATTTTCACATAGCTAAGAAGCTGCTTTGCACAGCTCATTGCTAATGAGTGATGGGTAAACATTTCAAGACTTGCAGAATTATTAACAGAAAAAGTACAATAAAAGTCAGCAAACCATACCTATCAAAAATGAAGACCTTCATGTAGGATATAATACCTGGGTTTTCCAAGAACTTTGCTTTCTTTTCCAAAACATGCCGGAAATATTTCTTGAAACATAAAATCATCTTGAGAGGTTTAGTTTTTTTGAAAGAAATCCTCCGAATCAAACAGGATACATACAAATAACAAATAGGCCATCAGAAGATAAATTACCTGTTTTTTCTGAAGCGGATGTGGCTTATGTATTTTTCTTAATTTATTTTTCTACAGAGAACAGCTGCGTAGTGTTTCAACTGGCCTCCTGTGGACAGGACAGCCAGCTGAAAATATGGATAATTTCCCAGCATAAAGGAGAAGGTAGGCTGAGCCCCATGTCCTGCCCGCCTCCATACTGACACTCGTTCAATCCATTTTTCACGTTAGGCCAGTGAAACCTTGAATCCTATCTGAGCAATTGGAGAATTTTGCTTGGTGTAAATCAAATGCAGACTGACTCATTAATAATGGATCACCTAAAGACTTTATTGCTGAAATAAAACAGCAGCTGGGGACTCTGAGTGTGTTTGAAGGTCATCAGCTGCACACACATTTATGTCATACACAGTTGCCCGTGTACATTCTCAGGTTGTGTAACCAGGTTACAGGCTGCATCCTCATTATGTGTGTGGACATGCAATGGGGTTAGTTGCTGAGATGTGTTGCCGTGGTAACAGTTTCTTGGGAAGACTTGAAATGCCCCACATGACCAAAGTCCACGGTGGTAGACTTTTTTTTTTTTTTTTTTTCCTTCTGACAAGCAGCTTGTAGAAGCACACCAAACAATATTTATCCCATAACATGTATTTACAATGCAGCTACTCAAATGAGGCACTTTGTCTGTGTTTCTTTTAACATTTGTATTTTGGGCTCGACATTTTATTTTCATGGCCATCACCAAACAAAGATGTTATTCAAAGGTCATTGTTGACATATTTGTCAAAACTGTCAAACTGGGGTCCGGTCAGAAGGGCAGGCAGCACCTGTACCCTCCATCCCTGAAGAAGCTCTAGAATATTAAGTCGCAGTTCCACTGTGTGGTGGTCAGAGCCCAGAAAAGCTAATTTATGTTGCCGATAACCACACATGAGAATTCCCAGTTAAAGGTACTTTTCACCTCTTTAGGCAGAATGAGGGAAGGAGACCAGTTTTTCAGAAAACTGGATTATAGTTCTTCTTTGGTCAATAGCAGGCTGTTGACAGCTGTTCCAATACACATCTGACGTTATTGTTCTCTCATCTTGCCTGTGTGTTACTCCACAGTTAGCATCATGAAGCTGCTTCACACTCTCACTGCCCAGTCAGCTCCTGTTCTGTCTTGTGCTTTCTCTTCTGATGGAGAGCTGGTCATTTCTGGGTAATCATCACACCACCACCCATACCAATTTATTGTATTTTGGTTTGCTTATTTGAGGTAAACTAAGTTGGAAATGAAGCTCTGTTTTGTGCTCATTTTTTTTCTTGGCTATGAACAGCAGATGCCACTGCTGAGCACTGGTCCTGCTGTTCTCTGTCAGCACTTTGTTATTAAAGGACTCCTGTTGGGTCCGTCTGTTTCTTCTGGCTGAATCTTACACATACTGAAGATTAATCTGTGCTTTTTTTCTTTCTTGTTTATTTTGGCAAAAGTCATCTTTTGTGATTATTCTGTAATGTAAATTCATAGATATCGATTTTTCAAATGAGTTTGACATTATTTATTCTGATTATTCAACAGCTCTATGGATAAAAGTGTAACAGTTTATGATGCGGTAAGTAATGCACAAACACTGACAAAATGGATTTATTTTCCTCATTCTGCTTCAGTAAACTGTGACAAAGGCTTCCCAACAATTTTTCACTGCTGCCATAAACACGGCCCCAAACATTTCTCGTTTGGATCCTGTGTTTACAGAACCTTGGAACCCTGCTCCACACCCTGAAACAACATGACAGGTAGATTACCCAACCTCCTGCTGCGTTACTATCTCTGCAACTCTCAGACAAATAGTGAAATCGGAGCCCCAGTGTTTCAGATCAAAATGTGATTTTTGCTTGATTAGTTTTTGCCAAAGCACTGGGTGCAGTGAGGCAACAGTACATTTTGCTTTCTGTTCAGCCATTGATGTGGCATCGCAGGTAAAAACACGCAGAGAGCTTTGATGTAAAAGGATTTAAGATGATCCAAGATTCTTTTTTTTTTTTTTTTCTCAGTGGTTTCAGGCAACCTGACTTTTTGTGCTGATCCTTTGCCAGTTTCAGTCTTCACCTTCCTGCTGCTCTTCCTCCTTCCTGCAGATATGTCACTGCTGTTGCTGTGTCTTCCACCTTTCCCCTGATTGCAACCGGCTCCATGGACAGATCAGTGAATGTGTGGAGAATAGGAGATGAGCATGACCAAACTGGTAACTGATGAGCAGAGAACTTCTGGTGTTTAAAAATGTACAGAAAAATGATACAGTTGTGCAAAGCTCAGGAGCTATTTGCAGGGCCAGACCCTCTCAAAAGAGCCTTTTCTGAGATATTTGAAGCTACTACACATTTATGCTCATATGGAGGAATTATGACTTATGTTTATTGGTGCAGCTGAGTAACAGCTTCTGAGTCTCAGATAGCTGCTGTTATGCAGGTAAATTATACTTAAAAGATCCAGCCAACATTAGAATACATCTTTTGAAATGAAAAGCTGCAATCGATAAACATCTGGAGCTTCTTTGCAGCTCTATGTGGTGTAAAAGAGGAAGATGGTATCTTCTGCATTAAAATTGAAAATCTTTTTTTAATGTTTTTCTGCAGCTAGTGACTCACAGCAGACATCATGTCAAGGTAAATGAATGCATCGCTCTGTTATTGCCTCTAGAAACCCCCTCTTATTCAGATAGTGCCTGGGTTTTAACCAGTGTTGTTTAATTTTAATGCCTCTTTTGGGGATTTAAAATAATACCATGTCCATCCCTTTTAAAGACACATTTTTGTTGTTAAAATAAATCTTTGTGCTTGTGATGGGAGGCATTTTTTTTGGTAATCCTGTTATTGCTGTTATGTGACCTGAATAAATATTTGGAAATGGGAATCTTTCATACATTTATCTCCATCAGTTAGAATAGCCTTGGAGGGCTGGGCTAAAGTTTATTGACTCAAATAACACCTTTCATTGACTTCATGCTGTGATTGAAATTCAATTAACAAACCTAATTGAACTTTTTCCAAAGCTTATGGAATAGTTTATTTGTGAGCTGATGCATTTAAAACTAATGACTTTCCAGTCAGACTTCTGTTGTTTTAAAAAAAAAAAAAAAAAGAAAAATAAAGTCCAGATACTAATCTCCATAACTTGGAGGATAAACCTGGTAAGCAATTTTGTACCTGTTCCCAAATCTGTGTCTGCAGTATGTTTTTAGGTTGTAATGACAAGAGCAAATTATTACACCTTTGTCAATCTTGAATATTTTGTCAGATTAAAAAAAAAAAAATTCTCCCACCTTTATTTAGAAGAGTAATCTTTTCATGTTTGTTTATTAAGGATCTCACTACAGTTCTTTATTGAAAATGTTGCATGAAATATGTATCAAATAAAAAACAGTTATCGGCACCAACACAAGAGCAGGACTCGTCAGCGGGTTTGTCTGGATTTGGCTGTGCTCTGCTGTGGACTGGAAAAGCATTTGCATGTGATTTTTACAGCATTTCATTGTTGGTTTTCCTCTGTTCATTATTTGACAGTCCAGAAAAAATAGACCATCGTCATCATGATCCTTTAAGATGAAATAAGATGATGGAAAACTGGGCCTAATTTGTCCAGCTATATTAACATTGCAGTACTCTCAGACTGTAGTGAAGCAATGAGGTTTTCCTGCTTTTGGCAGAGTGTTTCCATGACTCAGCCCTTGAGCTCCAGATGCTCTCCTGTAGCAGCCAGCGCTGCACAGAGGAATTGGTGTGACTCTGCTATTTTCTGGGCAGACTTTTAAATATGTGGACGTTTCCTCGTAGTTTATTATGTAATTAAAAATGTAATTGTCAAATCTCAAGTCTAACATTTTGACTTCTCGTGGTATTAAGAGCACTGCAGTTAGGGGGTGGACTTGTATATGTGCATTCAGGTTTACTGGCTTCCCTGGAAACTCTGTGAATATTCAAAATGGCTGCTTAGAAGAAACAAATTAAACTGTAATGGAGATGTCAGCCTTTAGATAACCAGCAGGGTAACAATTCAGAGACATGTTTTAGGAGATTAAATGTTATGTGGTTGAAAAGACAGTAACATGTGGGGAACACATCGCCGTCTACAGCATTATCCTTCACACAGCTAATGGTAGGCGATAGGAACTTGGAGACAGCTGTGAGATATCATTAAGGAGGCTGGTGCACAACAGGCCAGTTTGTGTCCACCATGTATGAAAAATGATGGCTGCTCAATGAAATGGTGGTGTGAAGGTTGATGAGTTTCATGCTGGTACGATTTGAAATGAGCCTGGGCTTTCATTTCTTTGGATCACATGCCTGCATGAAAGGTCGGCTGTGTGTAATTGTGTGTTATTCTTTTTTTTTTTTTTAAACATCCAGCCTCTCTGCTTTTGAAAATAAAAGGCCCTCTTGACATAAACCAGTAATTTATAGTATGAAGACTCTCTGTAATGCCATGTTCCTATAAGTGATGAAAATGCTGCCGTTTGTCTGTGTGTATTTGTAGGTGGGTGCACATGAGGGTGATGATTACTGCCAAGAGATTGATTCTGTGGCGAGTTACAGGAGATTGGGGCATGGTAATCCAGCACTTCCCTTCATCCTGTTGCGTGTGTATGTTTGTGTTTTGGCAGGAAGAAAGATGCCAGGTTACGCCAGTCTGCTGCTTGCTGATTGGACAGAGCAGGATGTACAGACGTGGCTGTGCAAAGAGGGACTGGAGGAACTTGTCGGTCTCTTTAGATTCAACAACATCGATGGACCAGAGCTGAACCAGTTGAGCAAGGAGACAGTGGCTGAGTTAGGAATCGGTGAGGATGAAAAATAGAACAACTGTGTACAGTAGAAAATATTGGTGTACATACTCGCACCCAGGGGCACCTTGAGATTCTGAGTATGTGAGGATTTACTCCCTGACCCCCTAACATAAGTGAATTGGAAGCTATGATATAAGCTGCTTTTCACATTGATCTGAGTTGTGGATGAGAAGCTGGAGCATGTCTCTCTGCTTATGTGGTCACGTCATGCAGTGGGGGCCACACCCCGCAGACTGACCTTTACCTCACAAACTCTAATAATCCTTCTTACACTAAGAATTGGTCATTTCGGCCCATCAACGGGCAAAATGTCAACAGTCCCCAGACAAACTGTGGCCAGGGAAACCAAAATTTGTACATTTATTAACATCTCCAGTACATTAGTCATGTTTAAAGCAGCAGTGTCATTATTATAAAGTGGGTACAATAAGAATTATAAAGATCTCAATTGCATGTTTTAAATATTTCAGTGGCCTAAAAAAAGAATAATTAATTGTGTTGTATAACGTAAATGTCTGTTATTACTTACTTTTTTTTTTCTAGAGTGGTATAAGTCATATTTGATTTACAGTAGAACTAAGCAGTAGAATTTAAGTATACGTTTTTGAAAGACAGTTTACTATCTCATAGATCATACTAACTCATCTTGAATTTACTTTAAAAAAAGTTTAGTGGGAGTAAAAAGCAGCACCTGTAGGAACATACTGCTTCTAATTATCTTAATTGGCAGCAGATCATTAAATTATTGAGTTAAAAGCATGTTAGATAGGTAAAGACTCTTCAAGCAAAGCAACAAAGTGGAATTATGTACAGCTTGTTATTGGTGATAAATTAAAAGACTGAATCATTGATGGTTTAGGGGTACTTTAATTACTGTGGAAATGGTAACTTAATCCACTCAGTAGATGCTGTTGGTGCTGAGGTATATACAGGTTGTACAGCAACATATACTCTCACCTAGTAAACGTCTTTCTCAGGGAAGGGGATTGGATATCTCAGCAAGATGATGCTGAAGCACATAGTGCATAATACATTTATCTGATTTCTTAATTTGATGTCAGCCAAATTCAAACCACTTTCAGCTTTTGAATTTAAAGCTAACTTTCCTAAAAGTTAAGAACGATGTGTGTAAATCACCTGGTTTAGCAACAAGCCACACTGCATTGCTGTCAGAAGATTTTAGAACAGTACACATGTGGGGAAGGAAAGGATGTAGTCATCAGGACGCTATTTACTTCATACTTTGACAATCGTCTGTTTCCATCCCTACTTTGTTTCTGTTTTGGGGTTGTAATTGATTCTAAGATGGCACCTGGACGTCTCCAGCGTATTTATGATTGCTGACTGTAATAATGTACTTTGCTCATAATCCCATCCGTAATCAAAGTAAAAACATCATGTGCCCGAAGTTTTTAAAAAAAATGTTTTAATTGGACTGAAGTCCAGACAACGGCCCACGTACTATGCTGCTTGTAATGCAAAGTTGTCTCAAGATGGACAGCTCTCATTATTTCCACAGACTGTGGACAGAGCAGGCGGACATTTGCCACTTTTCCTTTCCGTCTTCTGCAGTACTACCAAATTGTAGAATTTGGTATGCATGCAATTTGTGTAAGTGTGCAGATGTGCTTAGGCATATGCTCACTCACACTTTCAGGGGATGGACACACACTCGGAGCAAACAAGATTTCAGCACAATTGCTGAAATATTCATAAATGTGAGGAGAGGAGGAAAAATAAGATTCTGATATTATTCAGCTTATCTCCATAGAGAGACCCTCATTTGGCAGTTTTATCAGAACATGGCTTCAAATTATCAATCTAAATGTAAAGTGGACAGTGTATTACCTCCAATGGAAGATCGAATTATGTTCAGAAATCTAAAAGGGGAGAATTACACCATTAAAATTAAACTTCTCTACCCAGCAGCTATTTATTAGCTGAATCAGAGGACTTGATTTGTCGAATAAGTTTCAGATATCATCCTGAGTAAATGCTGTCATTTTTTCAGCAGGAGCTCATTGTTCTGACAGCAGGACCCGTTTGTTATGCGTTTGATTTTTAAGACACAAGGTGCCCCCTGGACAAATGTGTGTGTGCTGCATCAGATGTTGATGGTTTGAAATGAAGACAAATTCACAGCATCTGCTGCAGTCCATCAAAGGGGAAAAAGTGCGCTGCTAACACAGGTTAATTGTTTGCTAGTTGGGTTGATTAAACAGCAAATAAAAACCTCTGAGTGCAAATCACCTACAGGAAGTCTCAAATTGTCAGGCAGAACAGCTGATCCATTTAAACATCACATGTTCCTGTGTATACTCGGTTGTAACGGCTCCGGTGTGTTATCTGTGAAACCAGGGAGGACAGGTTTGGACAACACTGTCCTCACTGATTCAGTTAAACAGAAAACACAGAATAGCCATAAAGGAGTGCTGGTAGTGGGCTGACCTTCATTGATTTGAAAAGACTAATTATAATGATGTATAGAACACTGGTCTGTGATGTTTTAGATTCTGTTGGCCTCCGCGGTCGCCTTCTGAGGAAAATCGACACCCTGAAGGCAGCACAGAGTGGCTCCGAAGCCCCAGATGAGTTTCTGTGTCCCATTAACAGAGAGCTAATGAAGGACCCGGTCATTGCTTCAGGTTGGTTAATAGATTTTAAAAAACAAAGCAAATATTTCTATGCAGTGCCTATGTCAAAAGTAGTTATTTGATACCATAATTTCTACCTGCACTATTTCAGTGTACAAGATGTGTGTGTGTGTCTGGTCCACAGATGGATATTCATATGAGCGAGAAGCCATCGAGTGCTGGATTAGAGGCAAGAACAAAACTAGCCCTATGACAAACCTGCCCCTCCAGACAACACTCCTCACCCCAAACAGATCCCTCAAGATGGCAATAACAAGATGGAAGTTGAACCAATAGGTAAGCAGTTTGTTTCCCTCTTTAACTGTGCAACTTATCTAGCAAATTACTTGTTTGGTAAAGAAACTATGTGCAAACCAGTCAGCTGAGTAAGAACAACTAAATCAGACTGAAAAAATAAAGGCTCAACTCAATACCTTGCCTGAAGAAATGCAAAAAAAAAAAAAATCCAATTAAAAACTCAACATGGCCAAAAAAACATTTAAAAAGTGGGATAGATGAGCCATGTTTTAGAGTAAGCGGCCACACACAATTTAGTTTTTCCTCAGTGGATCTTTATTTTGCTCTCCCATGGCGGCTATGGCAGTAATGTTCTATTACAGTATGTGATCACAGCTAGTAAAGCTCACAATACTGAAAACATGGCAACAATTGCATTTAACATACATCATAAATTGAGCTGATGGCACTGTACCACCTTTACACTTCTATTCTTCTAGATATTTTTTACTCTGTAATATAAACTGCAATTGTAGCATGCAATAAGAATCATAAAATGTCTTAGCTGTGCAAAAATAACTATATAAAATATATTGCTTTAACAATTAATCAAGCCATTGGCGCTGTAAATAAATTAAACTAGACAGCAACAACAAGCAGATACACAAAGGAATTCAGTGTTAATGGTGATTTATATCATGTACAAATATATTTAACAAATGTTTTAACACCATTTCAACAACATTGTGCCTAAAACTGAAAATACACAAGTCTGAACCTGTCAATACATTTAACAGACCTTCATGAAAAGAAGGAACAGTATACATTTAGATATATACACAACATGAGGATCAATAACATCCTTGGTAAAACACAGGAATGCCAGTCCCTTAGACTCTTCCTTATGGTTGCTTCACAAAGTACTCGGACCCCTTTATATCAGTCTGTATTGTCGATTCCAATTTAAATTGGTAACAGCTGCTTTTCGCAATTATATTTTTACTAAATTGAAAACGTACTGTGACTTGTGTATAAAATACTCCCCTTTCACAGCAGCTACGACCTAAAGATATCCAGAAAACATGAATATTTGACTACTCCGTCAGGCATTAGATTAGTTGATTGTTCAGCCCCTTCTGTATTTCCATTCTGTTGTGATGGGACACAGAACTAAACTTTTACAATCTTTGTTCAACATCACAGATGTAAGATGGAGTCCTGCAGAGTTTCTTTGGAACTGATGGAATGATGTGTAGGTTCAAGAGGGGGTAGCCATTGTTAACTCGGCTACATTTGGAAAGTTCAAACTCTTTTCCATTAATATTTAACAACACAAAGTTTGGAACCAGTGAAGGGATCTGAACACTTTCTGGAAAAACTGTATTTCTCACATCTGAACACCACAGATGTGAGGAAGACAAGTCAAACCTCATTTCCATTCAGAAATGTTCTCATAACATTAGGCTGTCACTGTACATGTTGCTTAAGCACTTGAACAGGATAAGTGTGTGTAAAGTTCTCACTATCACTGTTTTGTTGATCAGGATTGTACAGCACATGTCCAAATTATTCCTTCAGTGCATTGCCTTCAGCTTGGCTGAATGATGGCAAACATATCATGTAAAAGAAGCTGACAGCCACAAGCAGCAGATTGTGGGAATAACATTTAGTATTTTCAGCCGCCACTTTGCTTTTGTCCATCACCACAAACATCCCGTCCCTCTCAGGTTATTTTTTTCTTCTAACAATCTCTGCGTTGTTATAACCACAACAGGCATTTAAAAAAAACAAAAAACATCTCTACACATTTGATTCTATAAATGATCGCTTTGGTTTCATTGAAGCTACGTGAATGGCAGGATTATCTCGGACAAGGCCAGACTGCTTGGGCTTACTGTCCACAAAAGTATGCGGCATTACCAGAGCTGGCTTAGACTCTTTGTAACAGTTGGCTGCTTGGCAGAACTTCCCTGCAAACTCCTTGGCATGCATGCCATTTTGCAAGCTACTCACAGCCATTGCACCTTGAGCTGCTGGAGGCTTGTGCTGCTCCTGGTACGCGCTCATTGTTTTGCTGTAAGACGACTCGCAGTCGATCGGCTGCAGGCCCATCGATGACATGTGGCACACCAGGGCGTCAGAGGAGTGGCTCATCCAGCTGCGACTGGCAGTCTGAAGGCTTGGATGGCTCTGCACGCTGTGATGCTGCTGCTGCTGCAGCTGCTGCTGAAAGCGGGCCGTTTTGTCAGTTACGCCCATGAAAGGTCTGGGTTTGTACTCTGCAGCGGGGCCCGGCTGCTGGCTGTGCTTGGCTTTGTCTGAAATCTTTGTGCGCACATCCGGGCCCAGCTTGCCGCTGTCCGACAGGCTGCTGCTGGACGCCAAGCTGCTGGTAGAACTGGACACACGCATGCTGCTGATGCCTCCTCCCTGAGCTCCTCCTGCACCACACATGCCCTCCTTTCCTGGGTCAGCATGGTTCCCCTGGTGTCCAGGAGCAGAACAAGTCAATCCTTCCAGGGAGGAGGCTGAGTGGGTGGACAGCCTGTCCTGCCCCAGTCCTTTGGAGGACTGAGGGAAAAGAAGGCTCTCGCCCTCACAGCTCTGACCCATGGATGTGGACGATGCCGCCAGCAACAAGCGGTTTCCATACAAAGGCTCATCAGGGGGTGGAGACAGGGGGCTGATGTCGATGCCTGGGCCTGGCTTCAGCTTGCTGGACATGTGTCGACTAGGTAAAGGACTCGAGGGCGTGTACTGAGATTTGGACCCAGTGGAGCGGCCCCCAGCAGCTCCTCCCATGGAACTCATGTGCTGATTGGTCTTGACTATCTGGGCCTGCTTGGTGGGCTGCAGGACCAGAGCCTGCTGGGCCAGCGCCTCCCGGTGCTCTCGAGGGTACCTGTGGGGAGGAAGCCTGCTGGGGCCTGGAGGGGAGTTGGGGGTCACGCTCTGATTCTGATGACCCAAGCAATTGCTTAATGTTGGAGGGTCGACAGGCAAGACTCTGCTGAAGGAGTAGCTGTTTTGGGACCAACCGGCGTCGCCTGTCCTGTCATGCTTAAAGGTCAATGATTCCTCCTCCTCTTCTTCCTCTTCCTCAAGAATATCTCTTTGGCCTTCCACATTCCGCACCAGGCAGTGCTCCGAGGGCTCTTCCTGGGCTTCGTCGTTCTCGTGGTCAGAGTCGTGGCCCCCTGATGCCTGGATGGAGGCAGCTGCAGCCCCCGACAGGCTTCCTTTGGTCTGAGTTCTCTGCATCTGTTTACACTCCTCCTCAACTCGAGCCAGCAGGCGTCGGATCTCTCTGTTGTTGGGGCACAGCTTGGCTGCTTCGTGCAGGTCAGCCAACGCCGCCGTAAACTGTCTGTGAACGGAGACGATCATTGTAACCAGATGCAGAACAGTTAAAACTGGTGTGGAGCTGCTGAATAGTTTACCTGCTGCTTCGTTTAGCCCTGGCGCGGGCATAGTAAGCCTCATAGGATTTAGATTTCAGCTCCAGTGCTTTTGTTGCAAACTCTTCAGCCATCCCAAAATCCTACCAAAAAAAAAAGAATCTGTAAATAGCAGCCAGCCATATTATCATAAAGTTTTTTTTTTTTTTTTAGTTGAAACAGTTTCTGTTTTGTATCACAAAACTGATGTTTCAACACAAGGTGGGGGTGCAGCTGACCCACGCATGTGTCATTTTAGGGCATAAATTCATGACTTGTACTCCAAGCGAAGTCCTGTGCTGCTTAAACGGCATAAACAGCTGCTGCTGCACCACAAACGCCTTCCTGCTGGACCAAGACCCACATAAACAAAGCCTCTCTGCAGAAACAATCACCCAGAAAAAGGCTGCCATACACAGACCACAGCGTTTTTGTTTCCATGTCATTTAAAAAATCATTTAAAAAAAATCCCAATCTTGCTAAAAGATAATGTTTGCATTTTTAGCATAAAAAGTTTTGTCCTTTTATTTAAGCACCTGATGGGAAAGCTTCCCATCAAAAAATTTCATCGGACAACTCGGAGTGGTCTCTGCAGACTTACATTGGTTTTTCTGCGACAGCGAGAGAGGTTGAGGTACAGAGAGACCCTCAGCTCCTTAAATGCCTTCAGGTCATCCCCATAGCCTTCTCGAGGAAACTTCCTCAGGGCGTACTGGTACCTCTGGGCCGCCTCCTTCATCTTCCCTTTCTGAAGGACGCACGGAGGGCGAGCATGAATTAGGAAGGAGACAGAAGCAGACAGAATAGTCCAAAATGTCAACGAGAGATGCGGGGGGTATGTATTTTTCCACCACATACTCCCCACAGTATCTGTTTTCTGGCTCGGCTCCTTCCCTCTCATCAATCACACATGCAATACAAAGGCAAGTTCAAACGCAGCCCTCGCACACACTAACATGTGACATCTGAAAGGTTTCTCCTTTCTGCTGCAGACCTCAATCTGTTAAATGTCACACATTGATCACAGCACCTTGGGGAGGAGATGTGGAACATCCACAGCTACTCATTCTCGATATTTAGCTGAGCGAGAAAAAGGTGATCATTACCGCTTTAGGTGGGTTTCAATGATATTCTTCTGGTCGTCCTCACAGGAAAAACAATACTACCTGGTGGTTCCATTAAAGGCACATCCCCATGTCTGTTACTTTAGCAGGATGTTGGCAATATGGAACATTTTATGTTCATTAATACTTCAGGGCTGACAGGCAGCCATTTACCTTGTAAAGTATGTTTCCCTCCTCCATCAGCTTCTGGAGAAGGATGATGAGGATATCAGGCTTGGAAGTTGCCATGGCCCACGCAGCATTCCCTGCAGACAAAGGCATATCATTCTGTTGCTTTCAACAGGAGCAGACACTCAGCATACACTAATGACACTGGTACGAAGTAAAGTTACCTAAAGATTGTACCTGATCGATCGTAAGGAGACGTTCTGTAGCCTTAGTTTATCGAGGGCAGTTAGGAAAGAGTTAGCAGGAAGAAGAGAGCAGTCACGCAAAAGCAAGAGTCATCATTTGGAGTGACGGGAAAATGTGTTTTATAATTTTCTATTGTCACACAGCAGTTGGTACCACTCAGAATTGGTCACATATGTTCAGCAGTGAATGCATGCAGACTGCAGAGAGAAATTCAAACATACAGTCCATTACCATTTATTTCTGTTTGAGACAGCAGAGTGTGCTGCAGATAAGCTGCAGACCCTGATATGAATGAAAGTCATCTAGGTGATAAGTCACATTCTTGAAATTAGTCAAGCAGCATGTGAAGAAGAAATGGTCCTGACATACCACTGACAGTGAGCACACACAAACAGAGTTAGAGTGGAGCCGGGATGGAAGTTTCCCACAGCATTCCACACAATTTGTCAGAGATTATTCTTAGAACCATGAGATACTAGCAAGACAAACAAGATAGATATAGAACAGTCTATGCTTTACATTGACAAGTTAAGAAAAACACCTACTGCATGCTCAGAACATTTCATTTTTGTAACCAAGGGCTCTTACCAAGCTTTGCTCCTTTCTTTAACAAAGTCACTACCACTGATGTGTTCCTGCAACCGATGGCCCGGTCCAGAGGCCTCATCCCACTGTGGTCCACATGCTCTATCACTGCTCCCCTTTCCACCAAATACTGGACCTACAGGACAGCACAGGCATTTGACAGTGGCCGCAGCCAGAGGCGGCGTTAACACACAGCGTCATGTGTTCAATAAGCCACTGGGTCTAAATGAAGGTTGTGGTTTGTTTGCTGTGCAGCCCTTACGATCTCTGCATCTCCATAGAAAGCAGCCAGGTCCAGCGGAGTCCGCCCATTTTTGTCCGTGTGGTCGATGACCGCACCTTTCTCCACCAAAAACTGCACCACGTTCTTATGTCCTTTTAAACATGCCCAGCCAAGAGGCATTAATCCCTCCTTGTCCATTGAAGTTAAAGATGCACCTGAAGACGGACAGACGCACTCGGTATTGGCTCAGCGGGGTAACTTCATGTACTGGCAGTCACACTGCATGAGGCTCCATGCTGCTCACCTTTAGATAGCAGAAACTCAACAGTTCGCAGGTGACCCTCACAGGCTGCCACCATGAGGAGGGTTCTGCCCTGCTTGTCACTGATGTTAATGTCGGCCCCGTGTTGCAGCAACAGCTCAGCAATCTGTCACACACAGAAACAGACAATTAAGCCCTAACAATGATTTTTTTTTTTTTGGTCCAATAACAATGACACCACAGAGCAATTACCAGTGAGTCTGACCATGACCTCCTTTTTTTCCTTCCTAAACAAGAAACATAATCAGCAAGCCTCACCTGCCAGTGGCCCTGTCTGACAGCACAGAACAGAGGAGACACGCTGCGGCGGTTGACCTGCGGCACCACGGCGCCCTGCTCCAACAGGAAGCTGCACACCTCCATCTTCCCCCGGCCAGCAGCAGCTGTCAACGCTGAAGTGCCAAGCGGACACAAATATGATTTTAAGAGGACTTTTAAGAGTCTAAGAGGACTTTTACTTGATTGGACTCTATCAAACATAGCCTATGAAAATAAATGTCAAAGATGTAACAGTAACGATAGTAAGCGCAAGAAGGATTTCAGTCATGTTCCAGCAGGTTATTGATGCCATGTTTGACAGGAGGACTTGGTTCACCTGCTCAGTTTGGTGTTTCTGCTAATGCCCGTTTGCTCAGACAGACACAGCCTTTCCTTTTAGCACCAATTAGCTTCTCATTTTATGGTTTCATGTGTCTTAGTAATCAGGAAGTATGTAGAAAAAACGTTTTGAATATAAATCATTTCTCCATCTCTTTGCAAACAATGAGCAGATAATTGCAAGTTAATGTTTGTTACCAATGATCTTCTAAGCACATAATTATGTTTGTTTACTAAACTCATTAAGTTCCTACTTCAAGTTCCTCAGGTTTTTAACAGAGATGTGTTCAGTCATTTCATGCATCAGCAGACATACATTAGCAAGCAAAGTCACACTCCTTTGCTAAACAAACACTCCTGTTTGTATCTTTTTCAGACCAAGACCGACTGAAACTGTCTAACTTTAGGGAAATGAAAATAAACTCAAATGTAGCATTACCGTGTCGATTATTAAAATTGTTGGATGCTGACAGCCAGCTGTAGGACTGCTCTTAAATGAGCGCTGGTTCTCCAAGCAGATATCCAGTGTTGGAATCAGGGAAGCTCTTTTCTCAGGCTCACTTTGGAGATTTAAGTTGTTGCTGAGCCTCTACATCTTACCGACATCATCGATCTGGATAAGCAGTCATCAGAGCCAAAAAACAACCCCACCCTCCATCTGCTCAGAATGTGGATATCCTCATACAGCTCTCACAGCAGAACAATGACTCCAGGAAGCTAAACTTAGAAACTGCTCCAAGGACAAGCAACACCCAGCACCGATGGTGCTCGTTGCAAAATAAGACTGCGAGATGTTCCCAGATAAGATAAGAATTTAGGCAAAAACTATCCTGTTTATGTAAACATTTTCTTTACTTTTACACATTACACTACTTTACTTTGTTGTTCTATAATAAAGAAGTCATGCCCTCAAATCTTTGCAGATTAAGATATGGTTGGGGATATTTTACCCAGAAAAAGGGAAAGTAGGAATAATTGACAGAATAATTGACAAAGTCATCACCAAAAGTAGGTTGATTTAGTTTCATCTCTAATCAGACGTAACGGCAAAGAAAAGTAGGTAGCTTTTCCTGGACTTAGAAAATGGTACATTACTTTGCAGGGTTTCTTTAAGTGATCAGACTGGTAACAAATGTCATGATTTCTAATTCGAGACTCAACAGGACATAGTGTAATGTAGCCACCACAGCTCTCTGTCTTGCTCACTTTCCTTGGCTTTTCACCTTGAAGAGGGCAAAAGCCTCTTTCCAAAACAAGAAAAGTTCAAAAGTCACTTTGTAGAACATTAAGAACAGTAAAGTTACTTTTGCATCACCTGTATTTGTAGGACTTTGCCTTGAGTCGTCTTGTGATGACTAGATTCTGTGAAGATAAACTGTCCTCTTTTGCATAACTGGGAAGAGCTTTGCATCCAAAGAAGGGATTTTAAAACATGCAGCTTATGCAGCTTTACAATCTAATCTGGCTCTATTTAAACACAGAACACAGCTGGTACATTTGCATGAATGTGAGATATATAACAATTAATTTTGAATATGCAAGAAAAAGTCTAACCAGTTGGAGGACATTCGTAAAATTGTGTATGCAGTGAGTCTCTCGGCTTTGAGACTTGATCACTAAACCAGCTGCTGAGCAGCAGAGCAGGGATTTATGGTGAAAATTTAAAACATCCCTCAGGGCAAATAAGTGTTGGTGCTTGTATTTAAACAACTTTTTTTTTTTTGCTGTGTTATAAAAAAAGAAAATTTGATCCTCTGAAAACATGAAAAGTGGAAATCGGTGAATGAACATAGTTGTGAAGACAGATCAGGTAGGATCTTTAGAAAAATTGTTTGTAAATCTAAAATTATCCTAAACAAGTTTTTCAGATATTGTAAAGGAGCACTGTGTAGAAATAAAGCATAGCCAAAATAACAGATTACCCTTTCTATTCCCACATAAAATTATATTTAAATCAAGATATTCACGACAACAAATGAAAAGATCTGCAGTAAGTAAAAGTTATTTGTAAGCATAGACAGACTGCATCCAGACTTGCTATAATATTAGTTAAGAATCAAACGTGACCAACAGATTCTCCACCTGGTTTATTGCTCATACTCTCTGCTGCCGTCAGTCGTCTTCTCAGTCTGACAAAGTCCTGCCCTGTTCTCAGCCTCTGGCTACATGACTGGTTGGCAGAAGAAGCATGAATGTATGTGTCAGACACAGACAGCAGAGAGGCGCAGCATTCCTCTAGGAAGCTGTTTACACCTTGTACTAACATTACATAGTTGTTTAGATTTTTTTCTGTGTACAAACTCACAGTGAAATAATAGTTTTCTCTCTAATATAACCCCATCGTTGCAACGTGGCTCACATTTACATAAATGTTCCTCATTATTCAGAGTGATAGTGGTCAACTGAACAATGTATCATTTGAGGAAAAAGCCAGCAGTTTTTCTCACAACAATCTGTCACATTGCCTTAAATCCTACCGGGCTGAATCAAACCAGCTGGCTGTGTTAGTGTGGAACAAACTGGTGATCGGAGGATTCTGCTGAAAATATTTTACTTGCTCTATGGTTAGGCTCACTGACCAGCACGTATAATGGGCTCCGATTGGATTCCCTCTGATCTTTGTAGTGACATTTAAATATTAACTGCAATTGTTTTAAACTGTGGAAAATGTTTTACTTTTCTTCAACTAAAAACAGTCTTTGCCCTACCAAACTTCCACTAAATCTGGCTGTTAAAAAAACCCATGGAGCAGAAACATCGGGCCAGACCTGTTATTTACTTATTCCTTAATGTGATCAGTGGGATTCCTCAGCTAATCATATAATATGCCAAATTAAGACCAGCTATCACTGTTTATGAGCGCAGCATGTTAGACCAGTCATGTCTTTGAAAGTGATAAATTAAAGTTTTTAGGTCTGGCAAAGTGAGATTTTTTGCTGCAAATCATCACAAAAAAGCATTGGCTGCACCTTCAGTCATTACAATTATACATTAGTTTTCCAGAAAGCATTGCACGTCTAAGTATCTAAATCTAATCTATCTAAATATCATCTGTCAGGTGTTTGTTGAGGAGAAGCTGCTAGTGAGCAGAATATGTTTACAGAGTTGGTTTCCATGGTGAATTCCAAACACTTTGAGTTAGATTCTGGAGTGGGAAAACATGAGTTACCCTAAACTCTGGTTTAACAAACTCAATATTTTCACTTACTCTGTCGTTTGGAATAAACTCCAGTTAATAACTTTCATGTCAGAATAATCCTGGCTGGACATTCTTTGTTCCAGGACAGTAAAGAGGTCTGATGTTTAGCAGGACACAAGCACAATTAAACACTGTGGGCATACCTACATTCCTGAAGCAACCAAAAAATACATAAAAAAAGACCACTGCTACAACTCCTGTTTATAAAACCTATTTTAGCTCAATTACACACAAAAATAAACCATCCAACACTTGTCACATCAGACACTACACTGGAGTCCTGAAACAGCAGGCGCCTCAAACTTATGTAATGACTCAGAAGTATTTTTAGGACCAAATCATAATGTTTAGTGTAGTAGTTTTGAAAATGAAGGAAAAAAAAACTGCTGACTCTTTTGAAAAACAGATACCCACATCCCGCTGGTGCCAGCTTTAGTGTTCAGCTGGTACATTTATCAGTGCATTACTTCTGAAATGGTATAACTCTGTGTAATCTACACCTGTCCCACACCCAACGGCCATGGACCCCGCGCTGTCCTCACTGTCAGCCGCTGCACCACGTGGCTCTTTGCACCATTTTCTTAATGTTTGAAATAAAAACAAAACCGATCTTCTCAATCAGAAATCTAAGTATGTAACAGATAACAGTAAAATCCTTTAATACAGAATAGAGCGAGTCCTGGTGCTTAAATCCAGAGGCTTTTTTGGAAACTGCAGCTCAAAGGAAACTCAATATGGACTGAACTCTAAGTAGAAACCCTCACGACAACAGAAAATGATGTGTTTACCAGAGAGCCGAAGAATTCAGGACAGAACAAAGCATTAGCACACACAGCCGAGATGAGGCCATTCCACTGAAGCCAGCATCAGAATGCAAACACAGCAGGTGATAACACAAGAATCAGGTAATGCTAAAAGATTGATGACAACATACCTGTCTCTCCCCACAGAGTGTCGTGACTATCAATCTGGACAGCATGCTCATTTTTCAACGCCAGCAAGCCCCTCACAACCTGCCAAATAAGAGACTTAGATTAATGGTTGAATATCTATTTATGAGAGATCAAATAAACCTCTGAGGTGTTGCTGCACTCAAAGTGCTCAATTAGAAGCAGATGAAAACAACAAAATCCCAAGCAAATGGTCCATAATGGATCACGTCAGAGCAGAGGATCTCTGGTCCCTGAACCACTGCATGAGTCAGGTCCAGTCTGATTCACAACTGAACAGGGCATCGTTAACATGAAAACAGACTCTCAATCTACACGTAGAGTACAGTTTACATTGGCAACATTCTGTTTCTGTCTCATTTCGGCTAATTAAGGAGCCAAAATAAATCTGAGCTGCCCTCACACTCGGTCTGCTGGGAGCACTGTCCTGTGATGGACCCCCAAACCTTCCATCAGTCACATACGGCTACATAATACTTCACGTGGCAGGTCACCGTCACTGAAGGAACCTCAGCGGGGTTCTTTATAATCCCAGAATCATTACTGAATGGATTTTGAGCTATGTGTCATCTAAGTTTAAAAGCGTGTGTGTCACTCAGACCTGTGTGTGTCCCATGCTCGAAGCAGCAATCAAAGCCTGCTGCAGAACTTTGTTCTTCAGAGAGCAGTCCTGCTGCTGCCCCTCAGCACTCCACTCCAGCTCCAGCAGGTACTGGATTATCTCCACGTGTCCACGTAATGCGGCATGAACCAGGGCACACTGGCCGCTCTTATCGACATGATCCACCTGGCACAAAGACAAGATTCTTGAAATTGCTGCACACAGACAAAAGACATCTCATACCTAATGCCTGGGGTCAGTGTGCTGCATGCAGCAGGCAGATGTGCATCAGAGTGGGCAGCTATGGCCTAAGGTTCTAATTACAGTCCGGCAGACGGTCAAAGCTACAGAGATTCACATAAGGGAGACTCCTCACCTTGGCCCCTCTCTTGCAGAGCAGCATGACTAGCTCCAAGTGTCCGGCAGCGGCTGAGAAGCAAAGCGGGCTCATGCCGTTTTCAGACACCACGTCCACGCTGGCCCCAAACTCCAGCAGCAGCGAGGCAATTTCCTGGTGACCGAGATGGCACTGGACACACAGCACCGGCGCGTTGTTCAGGACTTCGGTGCGGTAATTCACATTTGCTCCTCCCAGCATCAGCAGACGGCTGACCTGACCACACCAACATAAAGGAGGAGGGTGGTGTAGTGGTTAGCATAGCTGCCTTCCAAGCAGTTGACCTGGGTTCGATTCCCGGCCAATACAGCTCCTCTCTACCCTGTAAGTCGCTTTGGATAAAAGCGTCTGCCAAATGCATGAACAACATGAACAACATCAAACCTTCTCATTGTGCATTCAGAGGCTGTATCAGGTGTTTTACTGTTTGGATTAAAGATACATCTTTTAAGAGAAGCAAACAGGGATGCATTTATATGTGGACCATTCTGTCCTCAACAATCCTTTTAAGACAATGAATGACTCAAATGTTTGCAGATACTAGCCCTGCTCAATCCTAACTCTCCAAAGGTCAGACACCAAATAAATTGGACACATTCCACTGAATGGCGTTATTAAGTGTGTTATTTTTTGCAAAGATGAGGAAATCAATAAGAAAAAACCTTGTAAACCAAATAAGCCCGCAGTGACAGCAGATGAAAGTGTATGGACTCTCAGTGGAATAAATCAACAATGGCTCTAATGGTCCCGTTGGACAGAACATGCTTATCCTGAAAATGTCTCAGCGATTTCCCATCCAATAACTTCCAACAAGAAAATAAGTAACGGAGGCTCGCTGGAGAAAAACATTAACAGTCTATAAATATCTGGCAGTCAGTTCAATTTACATATACTGGGAAAATGATCATTTCTCTATGACCACTGGCTGCTCTTCACGCTACAGAATCATGCAGTGTTCTAAGGTTTTCAACACACTGCTTCTGCACTTCTGTGTATGTTGGTTAGATTAATAAGGCAGTGTTAGAAATTGTGTGTTCATTTGATGTTGCATTAAAAAAAAATTCTTTAAAGACCCAACACAAACCCTAAAAGACTGAATGGGCTGTGTCCTCCACATTTATTTCACACAAACAGGTGGAAGGAAATGGAGCTGTACCTTGACATTAGGCGTGTAGAGGTTCCTAAGAGAGGCCAAAGCTGCCGACAGGCCATCAGCTCCGCAGCTGATCCACAGAGCCTGAAGCACACTGGATGACACACCTGTTTTCTTACTCAGGCCCTGAAAGCAAATCAACACGTGTGTGACATCAATTAACCTGAGCTTTGAATAACAAACAACTCGCCAGTGATTGTGTCAGAATTCCAAGGCTCAAGCTCTGATGAGCTGTCATCACCAGAAACAGGAGAGGGGTAAACAGCAGAAGGGTCCTACAAAGGGTAGACATCCCAAACAATGTAAATTCAGTAGGCGTACCTTAAAGATGTGCGCCTTAAGAATGTGGTGTCCCAGCTCCATCGTCTGCTGACGATTCAGTTTCCCCTCTTGGCGGGATAACATGAACGCCATAAAAGCGTGGCCAGTCCTGAGGTAGAAAGAGCAGAAAATAATATTCAGTGGTCATGACCTGGCCTCATGACATGACGAGCAATTTTGGCATGGTCATTGAGATCCTCTTTTCGCCCTGTGCTAGTGAAAAATGCTGCGAATGTTGGGCAATGACCCACAGAAGGACGAGGAAAAGTGTTTAAAAAGGGGAAGGGGGCGAAACAAGTTTTTCACTCAGTCACTTTGGCACCAATTAATGCAGACCTTCATTAAAAGGACATGCATGATTGCAGACCACTTTGATCTGCTTCTACAATTCTCTGTTTGAGCCCGAGCACTGAGAAGCACAGTGCACCAAGCTTTTGTCTGCTCGGCCTGACTGCGAGCCTTTGTTTTTCGTTAATGAAGGCTGTGAATGACCAGAATACGAAGCTCAGCCCTCGTCCGCTATGTGAGCAGAGGTGCGCAAGAGAGAGGGAAAAAATATCCAGTCACAGTGACATCATTCTGCTTATTAAGTGAGTGCTGCAGATCCAGAATTCCAATTAGGTCGAGGTACTGAGGCAGACGTGTCCGTCTCACAGGGCAAGAAGAGCGAAGCAGATCGAAAGGAAAATGTATCTAGCGTTTCTACAACAGAATGCTCTTTGTGAAGTGTTCCAGCCAACGTTGTGGATCATCGTTTGATTGATTTATTAGCCTGTTTCTAAAGCATGCATCCTTATAAATGAAAAACATCTGCATTTATGGTTTGTTACTCCATTCGGTCATTCCAGTTGCTGTCTCTCAGCTATTCTGTCACTAACTTGCTGTCTTTATGAAGGACATTACATCATGTTTCCCTGGTGTGCCTTATATTTTTAACAAGTTTGGACTGGCCACAATTAAAAGAATACCAAAGTAAATCCCTAAGGAAATTACTTTTATATTGTAGCAGAGTGAGAATCCATTTTCAATTGATCTATTCAACAAGACAGATCCCGGTGTGAACAGATCAGAACGGTTCAGTCACAAACTGAGTTTCTGAATCAAACCTTAAAACATAACCCCTAAAAGGGCCATCTTCATCTGATTGCTGGGTTTTGTACTGTCCTCACACCTCTGGGCTGGCAAGAGTCTACACACTAAACACAAAAATGGGCAATATCACACTGGGAAGAATGAGAAGACATAAAAGATCAAATCTGCAAGCAAAGTGCAAACTCTCTGCAGATACAGCACCATGTTTTTTCCTCGAGTCTTGCATAAAACAGTAATGCAGTTGCTTTGCAGGCAAAGCAGTCTATCTTTCTATGTGATAATGACTTTGGTTGTCATGTTAGTCTTCATTTTTAAGCTGTTCAAGAGACTTGAACAGAGAAAGATTTGAACGAGTCTGTGTATTTTTTTAAAGGAGTATCCTCCAAAGTCTGCCTCAAGGACAACAGAAGATGACAGATTAAAGAAAAGATAAGTGAAAACTCCAGCACACCGGAATTGGAGCAAGCCTATAGCCTTTCTGACTCTACATATGCAACTAACATGTCTTCATTGTAAAACATTTCTGAAGTCTATTTGTGATGCTCTGTAAAATGACCGTCTAAATACTTTACAAGCTAGTTGTGCGTTTCAAAGAAGCCGACATTCCTGAAGAGTTGCAGCGTGTACTGCATGTGCTTACAGAGCAGAGGGCTAACCTTGGGTCACACAGGAAGTCCGTACTCTCTCCATCAGCTCTCCACACCAGCCACTCTCGGAAGGAGGGGTGGCAAAACATGCGCGTCTTATCCCGCCGCTTGATGAAGAAGCACGAGAGCAGCTCCATGCGCTGCTGAAAGTCCTCCCACGGTAGCTCCCCTTGTATGGAGCCGGCGTTGATGGCCTGAAACAGCTGCTCATCGGTCATGGGGTGCAGCGAGGCCAGTGCCACGTTGAGGATGGGCAGGGAGCGCTCAAAGGCTGAATTGGTCATAAATTTCATGTTACACTGTAACTGGTACAGCTCAGCCAGCGATACGGGCACCACTTTGTAGCTGGCACTTTTGATCACGAGGTGGCCTCTGTCAAATAGATCCAGGGTGAGTTTGAGGTACAGGTAGGAACCCTGACTACGCGAGATCAGGTGGCTGCTGAGCTTGCCCACTGTGACAGGATCGGCTTTGCCGTTCAAGCTGATGTTGTTCATGATGTCCTTGCTGCCACTGATGCGGTATTGGATATACGCATTGAGGTCGTTGCCTATCTCGGTGTTGTCAGAGAAGTCATCCAGGGAGATCTTAGCGAAGGGCAGAAGGTTGGTGATGTCCTGTGAAGGACAAAGTAAAGGTTCAGGGACAGAAGTGCGCACAAGGTTGCTGCATAACGTCATTCTTATGGCAAAGAAGCTCAAATAATGTTAGCATGTATTATTCACATCACAATGACTACATTGCAGGACCTCAAAATATGTCTTCACAATCTGAGCTGGTGATAAAAGAAAAGTAATGTAAAAATTCTGCTTGTGTGCATTAATTATCGCAGGTATATTCATTTCAGTTTTTTTCAGCAGTGGGGAAGCGCGCTCACTGAGCTATCAGTGCAAAGCAGACACTTGTTACCACAGGAAATTGGGCTATGCGGATGACAAGACTGTGAAAGTGTGCATTAGCAGGCAGGGGATGGATTGCATAGCGGCTAGCAGGCAAGCAGAGGTCTGAGCCAGAGCTAACATTTCAATCCGTGTCCTGGGGGTTTGGGGAATGAATGTACCTTAATCCTCCAATCCTCTGCCTGTCTGAGGCTACAGAAACATTGCCTCTGTGAGATAACACTCTCCTCCCCATCATGACTAGGTGCAGCAAACAGACTCGTACACACTACCATGAACACAGACTCAATGAGATGTGTTGATCGTAAAACTAAAGGTCGGTGAAGAATAAGCAATACCCTGCACATTTACCAGACAAAAATGTTTTTTCAGGTCTGTCACACAAATCCCCTTCTACTGAAAGATAATTAAATTGTGCTTAAATTGCATATTTTTTTCATCATTAGAAAATAAAGTGCTGGCGGCTAAAGGTTGATTACAACATATCAGTGTTACATCATATTGACTTTCTACTGTGGTTGATCTTTAGCCATCAGTAATGTTTTTAAAAAGCTTGCAGAAAAAAAAGCGTTGAATTCACAGTGCATTCTGATGGAGAGCAGTTGACTCAGCTTCTGCCTTAGCATCAATAACCTCCATTGTGGATGTCAGCCAGCTACCACATTATTATCCAAGACTTATCAGCTCCTGCGTGGCTCATCGGGCACGACAAAGCCCATCACCGGTGCGAGTTCAACACAGCCCCAGAGGGTCTGTTTAACTGTTCCATCGAGGGCCATTAACTTGGCGAGCTCAAAGTCAGTATCTGCTTCAGTCTGCCACGCAGTATAAAGGCCTGAGTTCCCATCTGTCAACTCTTTCTCAAATGTTGACATTACCTCTCAGGACCTGATATCAGGTAGTGAGCGTCTCAAGATCAGACAGCAAATCCAACAACTAACTGCTTAAATTCTGCAACTATACTGGGGGAAATGATCTCACATATTGCAGCAGCTTCTGTACTTGATAATTGCTTTGTTCAAATGACTCATATATATTAAAATGCATTAAATATTATTTGACCCTTACCAACAGGTTGACTCGGACAGTGACCACTAGTTTAAGCCAGGGGGGGAACTTAGTAATAATCTTGGTGATAAAGGAAGCGATAGTGTCTCCATAATCGGGCTTATGGAACTCAGCTTCATTTAGCCCGTCTATCAAGATTATGTGGTCCTCTTCTGAAATTCTCCTCTCTGCAAAATAATAATAAAAAACAACCTTGGTAAGAGCATTATTTGGGTGGAATGGGCCTGCATAGTATCATCTCACTTTAAATATCTTGTGGTGAGAGTGCAGAGGGTGTTTTACCTTTACGAAGGTTGGCCAGGGGTTCCAGGACCCCTCTCCGGAAAGCAGCCATGGGGTCTTGGACACAGGAGCGCAGGCTGAGCATGCTCTGCAGGTGGGGCTCTTTTAGGAGCAGCTCTCGGTATGCGGCCAGTTGATGTGATCTGCACAGCAGGGCTGCGATACTGTGTACAAATTCTGGCACCAAGCAAGTGTACGTGTTGTCAGCCTGGCAGTAATGATAGGCAACCACCTGGAGCAGGAAAGGGTTTTAAAGGCACAGTTTTTAAGGAAGTTTTAAAAGAATTCTTTAAATCACCTAGGTTGTGAAAAAAGAGCCTTTGGAATTAAAAATGTGCTAAGATGGAGATTTTCAGTAACCACAAAGCTTTTGCACAAAAAAAGTTTTGTTATAGAAAAGAAATTCCTGCACTTTTTTTTTAAATACCCTTCTTGAGGCCTCTGATCATCTATACGGAGTTAAGACCAGGATCTTATCCGCCCTATTTCACACAGACAGGATGAAAGAATAACGGACGATGGTTGACCACCTCAGATATACGATAATAATAAGCCTGTGGATCCCGAGTGGACGCCTAAAAAAAGCACATTCTCTGTCTGAGCAAGGTTTCTGCATTGTTCCAAGCAGGCAGCTTAAATAGGAAAAAGAAAGGACATCGGAAGGAAGAGGGAAAGAGAAATGCCCTGGGGATGCATAACTCTACTAATTACAGTCCAACCTGATGGAGCTGACACACTTCCAGAAGCAGCAGGACGAGCAGGTGACCACCTCTTCTGCTGCTGTTTCATGCTCCATCAACAATGATAAGCAGCTTCATTAAAACCTACTGCCTTAAGCCGAAAAGCATTAAATTAATTATCATCTTTTTATACGATTAATTTCTATATATTAATTACAGCCTATTTTTGGTTAACAGAAACCATTTCTGTGGACCGGGGCCTTTTGGAGTTCAGGAAATAAGTGTAAAAATGGTTCTGGGTTTCTGTTTTCCCCTATTGGAAACAGCTTTGTGTGGGAACATTTTGATTGGTCGAGTACTCTTATTTTATTTAGCAACAATGGTTGTCGCTGTAACTGAAAATAGGAAATGAGACGTTCAAAAACCATTTGTGAAGCTTGAGCTGAGAAGAGTGCAGCACAAGCAGCCCTTGGTGTGTAAACTGGTGAATTAATGAAGAAAAGTTACTCTGAACAAACCTTGTGGTATTGATTGAACTATCCGTGTAGGTAACTTTGATCAACAACATCAGTTCGAACAATGCAGAGAGGACCTGTATGCATGAGTAGCACAGCTAAGCAAGTTCAACTTTCCTGATCTGCCCTGCACCTTTGACCTCAGTGGAAATGCATGATTTTAAGGAAACAAAGTAACCTCTACGAGTAACACAACAAACAACTCGCATTATTTTCAATGACTGAGTTGTACACAAGAAGCAGAGCTGTAATGTGGTTATTTATCCCATGAGCGGGCAGAAAACACTCCAGGGTAATTTTATGTTTTTCTCGTTTTGAAGGGGGAGGGAAGTTCTCAGCAAGCTTCCCCATCAAAGTTACTGTAATAATACTGTGATTCCTAAAAACACAGCCTGCATAGAAAAATAGTTACATTTTATACCTTACAGGTATATAAAGTACATTTTTTTTCAAAGCCAAAAGAATCAACTGATAAAGCAAAAGTGTGCAGTGAAACTGCAGCAGCTTTTGGGGTTAAATAAGTGCAGTCTGTAACAGGAATAAAGCTTTTGATGCACCAAAAACAATAAACCACCATCAGAACTCTGCTGTCAGACCAACTTTGAATCAATGATTAAAAAACTGGCAGAATTTCATTAAAGCTGCTCAGTGTTCCATCAGCATTCACACATCACAGAGCTCCTTAGAGAGCGCCTGTTGGAAACACTTTACACAGTAACTGGCTCAACATATACGGCTTGGCCAACACAGACAATCAGAGGGACCCCAGTGCTCCTATCTGCTGCACAATCTGTCCCAATGGAAGCAGAAGTGTGCTCAGTCCCAAACATGTTACAAGACTACCAGCTGTAATAAGCAGCATTAACATAAGTAAATATTTAAGATAAAATAAATAAATAAATAAATAAATGGAAAGAAATTGGTCTGACTGACATAAATTCAGTTTTGTGACACAATCATTCAGAAAGCTACACCCATAATTAAACTTTTCCTTTGATAAAATCCCCCTAAGCAGCAGCATGTCACACATCTCTGATATGCAGTGGTTTCCAATGGTTCTTATTAGAACATCAACGCAAAGTTATTAAATACTTACGAGAATTTACATTAACTGTTAGCAATAGCGTGAACACCACCACAAAGTCTGTGCTGAGTATTTAAGCCAAACAGCCATTACAGCTTTACAATTCTATTCCACATGCTTTTTCAGGGCAGTATGCTTGTGCCTCTGCCTTTAAAGCATCCATTTTAGGTTAGAAAATGCTTATTTACATACATGGATGTGATCAGAGAATCAGTCACTTTAACTGCTGCTGATTTATCCATTGCTGGTTACACATTTATAGAACTGCATAGAATTAATTTGTCAGATTTTCTTTACATTGCCAGCAGTCAATGTCACCACCACCATCTTTCCAAATGCTTTTTTCCTAGTTGTATGTTTCTCTGACCGACACACACAGACAAACCTACCTTTGAAGCCAGGCGTTTGACGGCCTCCTCCCTGCGCCGCTGCATCTCAGGGGTTCCTGGGCAGCTGTTGGTCCTCAGTGTGTTGGTGGCGCTGGATGGAGGAGTGGGCTGCGGAGGCTGGCTGAGAGGAAGTTCTGTGCTTTGCCCTGCACCACCTAGCATGCACAAACACTTTCTTGTCACATATATATGTGGACATTACTTAAACTTCTTTACAAGGAGAATATCATGAAACAAGAAACCTGGTTATGCACTGTAAAATAAGTTTGATAACAATATTAGTTATAATGTTTATTAGAATCTCTTCCATGATTTGCAAGCTCACATCCAGGATAAAATATTCAGAGTGGTTACTTTTGGGGGAAGCGCTGGGGCTGTTGGATGCAATCTGGCGCATGCGCCCTCCGTGGCAGCTCAGAGCTACAAGCCGTGAGATAATGGCCGTCTTCCCATAACCGACGCTGCCCACCACAACAGCACCATGGGTCCCCGAGGACTCGCTGGCCTTTAGAAGGTCTTCCAACCGCTGAAAAAGCCAGTCTCGGCCGACGAACACAGAGTCTGTGGTGATGCTGGGTACCTCAAACAACAGCGGCTTGAGCATAATGTCCACGGGTTTGTATGGAGCAAAGCGTGCTGTGGAGAAGAGAAGAGGTACAAACATATTTAAATAATATATTTTTTTTATTTTCAAAGCAACAGTTTTTCAGCTTTAAAAAAACAAGCAAGTTAGCCTTGACACTAAATAAACATTGCACTTTCTAAAGCTCTCATTTTGATGAGATTCAAACATGTCATTATCCATAACCTGTATGTGCCCACTGCCCTGTTTAACTGCTGTCTTTGATTTAGTGGTGATCTCATTTTACCACGTGAATACTGTAACACTTGTAGTACGTTTGTGAAATGAATTTCAGCACCATGACAGATAAATAATTACATAGATTTATGCTGTAACTGTAACTCTAAGAGTGAATCGACTGAAGAATCTGAGAGCTTATGTGTTTCCCCACATTAAACTGGTTGTCTCCACTTCATCTACAGTACAGTGAATCACAGCACAGCACCTTTAGAATCCTGAGGTGGCCGTCCTCCTGTGTTATGCCACGGCAGGCGGATGGATGTCCGCAGTGGGGTGTTGCGTTGTTCATCAAGAAAGCTCAGGTCTTCCAGCTTTGTAGAGCTGGTTGCTGTGAACAAAGACATCCAGAAAATGAGGAGGAGAGGCCGGCAGTCTGGTGCCTCAAGTGCATTTGCAATAAAAGCTAAAACGAGGAAAACAAAAACAGACACAGGATTAAAACTTTGCACCACACATGCCAGCTCTGAGACAGGATGAGTGAAGGACTGGTGAGCCAGTGTGCTCTGACATTTTTATTTAGCTGGAGGCAGTGAGTATCAGTATACTGCAGCGGAAAGAATAGCAGAATCCAAAAGTCAAGACAGATGTGCTTTGTTTTTCTTTGATTTCGCCTGACAGCTCCACACAATATAGCTGTTGTTAAGGTCAGAAATCGGTAGCCACAAACAGCCCAACTGGGCAGAAGAGAGAAGGGAGATTACCTTTATATTTTGCCAGAGGGTGACATGTTACATGAACGCTGTGCTGTTGGTTCACAATTATATTGTTAGAAAATGACTCATCAATGTTTCCATGGCTTATTGAATAGAAGTTAATTACTCAAAAAAACGGATCATTTTGCAAAATGGACAATAACAACTCTGTTAGTTTTTACAGTAAAAAAGTCAATTATACCCAAGATAAGAACTGTGCTCCGGGATCTACCGTGTCAGTACTAGCAAGTTAACTTTTTTTCACCATCTTAACAGCAAGAGGGGAAAGACCAAACTACAACTTGGATTCTACATTTAAAAAAGTCTAATTTTGTTGCAGAGGTCTTTAAAGCAGTAGCCATCTTTAATCCCTAAACAGAGGGCAGCCTCAGATGAAACAAAACTCTGCACATGAACTATGCGATGAGCACAGCACGTCTTCTTGGGGGTCGGAGTATGAGGCGCGGTCTGCTAATATATGAAAGATGTGCATTTGCACATTTTTCCACAATTGCATAAGAAGGCCATTCCTCTAACAGAAGCTAATGTTTCCACAGAACTGTCATGCCTACTGTCTTGGTTTTGGTTTTCTTCTTTATCAGCCTCAGCTAAAGGTAGACACAAACACACACTTTGCCTCTCTCTTCAGTCCCTCTCTCAGTCTCACTCAGTCTCTAAGTTAGTCTCTGGAATGTCCCACTAATTAAAATTCTTCTGCTGGAATTACGGCAATAATAAAAAAAGGTCCCAGAGTTGCTTTTATTGCAATAGTGCGTTGATCCAGCTGAACAGACAAAAAAGAACAAATGAACTTCTGAACCCAGCCCCCAACATTGGTTCCTTGCTAAATGTAAGTCATGCCATCCACAAGAGTGTCGCAGCAGCACAGCAAGCAGCAGAGTTAAAGCACAGAATCTGAAGAAATTCAAATGGAACACCAAGAAGATATCTAGTCCTCAATCTGATTAGACTTTTGACAACTACAACCACATTGTTCACCATAAATCCTGGGTGAAGACAGGTGGAGAAAGGATTAGACAGATGAAGCTGGAGAAAAGGCTGTGCAGCTGTGAGCAGCAACGTGCCGAAAAAGAGAGGTGGGGAAAGAAGTGATAATAGTGCCGCCACTGTGGCTAAATGAGATGTATGTCTTTACCTCTTTTGATTACTCAAGATATGTTTCTGCATGAATGTCACACAACCTTTGCTGCTTTTAAGACGCAGGTGAGGGTATTTCTTCATTTGACTGGCTTGAATGGTTTACACACACGCCATCCCAGACTGTTATATAATACATCCAGCATGTCAACCACTCCTCAGTCAGGTTGTTTCAAATTACCAATACCTTTAAAGGCCACAAATTCCCAAAGGATTCCTTTGTAGAGCTATCAAATTCATCTCTTCAGTCCTTCCCCTCTCTCTGAATTCTGACAGGTTTTGTGTTCAGATTCCTTTCTGTCCTTCAAGTTCCTGTTTTATTTTGCAGAGTTTCCCCTGCGTTCATTCAGTTGTCTTACTCTTTCTCCTTCTCACACCTGATTTCCTTTGCTGATAGCCTCACCTTCTGTTTTTCTTGCAATCATTTCCTTTTGTATATAGACTCCTGGTTTGCAGCCATTATTTTCACTATTCACTCCTCCAAACCATACATGAGACATAATTCTCTCCTGTTTCTCCCAGTTGCTGTTCATTCACAAACAGTCACATATAAAATCCTGAAAAAATCTGGAAAATTTGAAGTTGTACTGTGTCATATTGGATTGCTGGTGTATTTTTACTTAACATATAAAAGTTTTAACCTACAAAACCATGTAATGGGTCAATTCAAAACAAAACTAGTGGAAAAAAGAAAGCACAATGACAAAACATGGGGGAGTTACACTCAAACAGAATAAATTCTGAAACAGTTTTTCTTTTGCTCCTGCTGTGACTTAAAAGCGTGAAATGACTCTCAGAAAAAGGATATTTTAGGAGATGCCTCTTTGACCTTTTGAAAGTGCCAGAGGAAATAAATGGCTTATCTGTTTACTTTTTGTTATCATTCAGTCTGTGAACTGAACCAGTAAGAGTCCACAAACTATGTATTCTAAGGCACCCTGAAGACATCATAAACAATCGCAACGTGATGTTTTTAAACAAAAACTAAAGATATCATCTTAGAGCATATAAAATATTGCTGATTAGGCCAGAAAAAACACAGATCTCTCCTTGTGTTGATGTAGCAGTGCTGAGCCCTTTCTAAAATTGATTCTCAAACTACTATTTGACTTTTGAATCACACAACATTAACATGGAAAGACAAATACATTTCAATTTTACCATGTTAATGTTTCCTCAAGGTATTCATAGAAAACAACTTGTCCATATTTGCATAAAGCTGTGACAGGAAAATTATTGCTCATTTTACACACAATCTTAATCCAGCCACGATTTTGTCTCTTCTCTCCTAGTTACAATCTCATATCATTTACTCATTAGCCCTCTATTTCGGACCATTTGTTTGACAACAATGAAACTCTAAATAGCACTCACTTAACTGAAATGTGACCACTCTGTAACAGAATTAATACTTGATATGGAGTCAGATATCAATGAATTTGGTAATAAGAGCAAAACTAAAATCGGTGCTACGGACCAAATTTCCCCTCGTTGATAAATTGCTATTTGCTAGCTGAAAGCGGACTCAGCAGGCTTTTAGTAGCAAGGTTTAGGGAAAGGACTAAAAGAACAAAATTACACTTTCAAATTAGGTTAAATGCATCATTATAGACCTCCTGGCAAAACACACAAAAAACCTGAAAAAAAGTCAGTCCCATACCTTTTAGGCTCCCCGACATATGGCAGTTTTTGACTAATTTTATTTTATGCCTTACAGAGTGGAATCATTTTCAGTTAGGGGTATGAAAACTATGGGCTCCTTCGATTCTCAAATGTTAGCAGACTCAGAGTCTTCCTTAAAGGACATCTGTTTCAGTTCTGTATTCTCTAACAGGCAGCATGTGCCAAGGGACATCCCAGCTGTGTTATTTTTTTACACATGTGCAAATGATGCATAGCTATCTGTTCTGCAAAACATCCAATACATTTGGCAGTTGGATAACAGGTAGAAAAGTGGTTATGATACATCATAGGTACAGTGTGCAACTATGTGCACTTAAAGGCAATTCTCTTGAAGGCCTGTTGTGGATTAGTGTACTGTATTCTTAGTTTATTTTTCAGGATGTTTGACTAGCATGACTAACCCCTTACAAGCAGAACTGCGAAAGCACTGCTTGGACTTTTAGCAAGGTTTAACCTACATTTAGACACAGTCATTCAAACATCAGTGGGAATTGAGCTATGCAAGGTAAGCCAGATGTAGTTTATCAGGCATCAAATAAGTAGTATTGAGGTTCTATATAAGTTGTTTAAGTCAAATTTAATTCCATTCATTTTGATAGAAATAAAACTAGAACATTTTAAGTTCTACCTTTTCACCATGTCCCTGTACATTTTTCCGAAGCAAATTCAGGATTGGTCTGTGCAAAATCCTCAAGCTAGGTTTGGACCACAATCTCTGTTTCTGTAAACATACATGGCAATGTCGATGTGCTGGAGCAGTCATATGAAAGATCCATGGTGACAAAAACGAGCAAAAATGCCACCAACGCTTTGCACCTACATTCATGACATGTTTAAATCTGCATGTAATAGAAGGCCATTTCTTAACTGCTATTTGTCATGTTGCATGCCTGCACTTTAAAGATGTGTTCTAAGATCCACATCCGTAATTAAAACCAGTTAAAAACATTCAAACAACAAATGTTACCAAGGCTATGGCACACAGAGTGAATGCATGAGAGATGAAAAGCCCTTTTTCTGACCTTTCAATGGAATCTCCATCATTTATCATTTCTCCATATTTGAATATAATTTCCTTGAGCATTATCCAAGAAGAAACACTCTCCTTGCCCCACCATAACACCTTACAGAGATTGGTTTGGGGCATAAATGAAGTTGTCTCACCATATCCTTGATGTCCTCTCACAGGGTTTTGTCACACAGTGTAAATTCTAAGGTGTGAATTGTGAAAGTTCCCAGAGTGCAACACTGCATAACTATGACATCAGCTCATAAACCCTGTGCAACAAATCTCCTGGTCTACTAGATTTATGAGCCAGTGTGTATCTGTTCTAGGAAAGTTTATGGCATTCATGAATAAATAAGACAGATGCTGCATTATCAAAGAGAAAGAAAATGCACCTATAGACCAGGAGACGCAAGCTTGGTGTAGGTCTCGTCTTGTCTTGTTTTATGTAATTCTTAATTGTTCTTCACTTGTCAACTGCTCTCACCTGTTATTTGATAAACTTAATTCTACCTTTTTACCTAGTTTTTCTTGGCTGCTGTAATTTTACCTCATATGCAAAACTGTTTGCAATGTGACGCATATTTTAGGTGCACTACAGAATTAACTGTTTATCAATAAATTTGTTTATTCTTGTGACAATGACCATGCATGTTCAACTTAAAAACATTGTTTTACCTTACATAAACTATCACTCCCTTTAATAATGACTATTATATATTACTGCTGTCGTATCACAAATTTGAGTTAAGCTACAAGGCCTGGATGGAGGTCAAAGGCAAAAACAGGGTTGATCAGAGAGACTTAGGAAAAGTGTGGGGCAGGGTGACGTCAGAGAAAGGGGGGGTGGCGAGAAATACTAACAACTGTGACAGCTGTGTGGATATGCTGAGCTGAACCACAACAGGGAGGTCCAAGGGCAAGAATGCAGAACAGATCAGCCAGGCAGAGGCTTGTGCTTATGTTCGACATGGAAGGCAGTGCTGAGGCACAATACACAGCAGCTGCCTAATCCCAAACTTCTGCCTTGATACCTCGCTGTGAAAAGCATAACCTTTACTTATTTCTCCTATATCTGCTCATGCTTTTACAAACATGTCTGTGTGTCATCTGCTTGATGTAAAGTGACATTTGTCAGCCTGGAGCTCATGTTCTACCATGGAGTAAAAATCCTGAGCTCACTGACAGCACAGAGTAGAGGCAGCGACAGCTGCAGACAGAAAGGTACACAGATTTCTTTCTGTGTACTTAATAACATCCAGATGTAAAGAACGCCAGTGCAGAGGGCTCTTACCGGCGACAGAGTTTGGTCTCGGCATCATGAGCGAGGATGACGTCTGTGGTGGGTATGGACTGGGTCCCTCAGGTGAGTGGCCTGGAGGCTGTGTTGGCCCTGGAGCTCCTGATGATATGTGAGCCAGCTGCTGCTGCTGCTGCTGGTCTGTCCTGGATGGGGTGTCAGCTGGCGATGCCGTGGCACTGCTGGAGTCCTCCTCCACCACAGGAGAGCATGCATCAGCTCGCACACTCTGCGCCAGGCCGTGGCGTCCGCTGCTTCTGAGGCTGCCATCTTTGCTCCACTCAAGACTGGAGCCACTACGGTCATCGTTCTCTGAGGAACTAGTGATGGTGGCTAAAAAGAGATTAAACAAAGAGAGAATGAGCACTGACACTAAGCGTCGAGAGGAGTAATTTGAGTAAAAGAGTCCAGATAAATTTGAGTAATGTTCTCTATGTGATATGAACATTTATTTGTCTTAATCTCTAATGTGATGCTTGGGCGTAATGGAACTTTGAATAAATCAAAGCCTTATCTACACTACTCAGAAAAACATTTTATATTTGCACTGACAGTGTGCTAGCACGGATGAAAAAAAAACAACAAAAAAAAAACAGTTGCCATAATTCGTCAACATTCTGCCTGCGAGTTTGTGTCTTCTCAAGGATGATTATTCAATGATTCGGGATAAAACTGCAGACAGTGTAAACAACAATTAAATTATGTTTGAAAGAGACATGATTTAAAGCAAAATACATAAAGCACAAAATCTATCTCTGAGAATAAGTCATTTTCGAGTCCATGCAGGTGTTTTGTTTATGAGAGCAAACCCTCTAATCCTTCCTAGGGCCACAGCAACCATCTAACCAAATCCTACAATACTGAGTGGTGGTTTGGGGCAACACAGTAACTAAAGAAAATGAAAGTGACTGGCTAGCTGGCGGTGTTTGCATCACACACACAGTTAATCTGGTTTTCATAATGCTGCAGCAAATTGCATCATCGTTAATATAACTCACACATCCTGAACCTTTTCACTCCTCTGCTGTTTATCTTGGCAAACACAAAACTCAGTCTTTCCAACATTCATCTCTAACCCTCCTCTGGGCATGCATTCAAAATAATCAAAGTGTAGAGAATGTTAACGTGGATGCTTTTTTTAGTTTAATTGTAGGTCCTGACAAATGACAAACTATCTTTTAAGAAACACAAGGATACCATGCCTTTTTAATCATATGAAGAGTTGGATTCATAATTTAAGATTTTAAGATTTAGGTGCAGATTAGTAAAGGTTTAAATAAAAATATAGAGAAAAGGACAGTTCATGCATTACAAAGTCAAATTAATTATCTTAAATTCTTCTGAAACCAGAATTAGGGGGAAAATATTTACAGGTAGACATCTGAATTCAGCACAACAGCTGCACTGCTGAACCAACACAGGAGGATGACATGGTGCAGACCATCCATCCATCCATTCATCCATCCGTCCATCCATTTTCTGAACCGTTTATTCCCAAATGGGAGCGCAGGGGGACTGGAGCCTATCCCAGTAGTCAATGGGCTAGGCGCAGGGTACACCTGCCAGTCTATTGCAGGGCCACACATATAGACACGCAAAGAGGAACAACCACGCACACTCACACTCACTCATAAAGGCAATTAGGAATGTCCAATCAAACTAACATGCAGGTTTTTGGACGGTGGGAGGAGGCCGGGTACTCTGGAGAGAACCCGTGCAGACACAGGGAGAACATGCAAACACCACACAGAAAGGTCCCTAGGCGATGGTGCTAACCACCATACCACCGTGCTGCCCTGGTTCAGACCAGTGGTTCTTAATTTTTCTCAAACCTTTTACCCACCCACCAAACAGAACTGGGTTTTAGATGATGCCTTAATCAGGAGGCATGGTTTAATAGAACAGCATGCCTGTCAAATAAGACTTACTAATAGCAATGGTATCATTCAAGATTCTGTCGCCAGTCCTTGTCTGGCAATACAAAACCATTTTCACACAGAAAAAAGGAGTTTTAAAACAGGTCAGAATTTTCTCAAGTAGTCTGAATTGTTTTGCTAAGATTTCAGTAACAGCAGACATGAAAAACCCTCACAGGAAGTCTGGAGGATTTGTTGAGGACATTTGAGCTCTCATATGCTACTGCTCCCAAACATCCGCTGCTTATTTAAAACAACTTTACTGGACATCTGCTCCTACAGCAGAAAGAGATGGTCATTCAGATCCTTATTTTCCAATTTATTGTCAGAGCCTGTCATGCTGATGTTTGTATAATTGATAAAGTCATTGATCATGTAATACTTGTCTTTATGTCCATCCATGTTCCAGGCATCACATTCAAAATTAAAAGAATATTAGCAATAACATCACATATAATGTGATAATCTAAGTAGCTTAATACATTCTATGAGGAACTCTGGCTTTTTTGGGGGTTTATAATAGGTCCAATATAACAAAGTATTTCCTTAGTGTGCATGATGATGATGGTGAAGATTAAAGTACATTCTCTATCTTAACTTCCCCCCGAAAATGACCAAAGGTTTAAAGAAAAAGAAACGAAAGAAAGATGTGTGGATAACAGTCAGATCACAGTGTTCCTCACTCCAAATATTCAAAGCCCAATTTCAGAATGAACACCAAACATTTGTAAAGCCACAGGAGGCTCTGTGAAAAGGAATGGCAGATGAATTAATGCATCAATAGACGATGCCATCTTCCTGTCAGCTTGTGTAAATCCGATGATGTCTTACAGGCTTATTACGCGAGATACGGCACGACGTCAAACTGCTGCTACTGTCAGCTCAACTCTCTCCTTACCTAGAACAACTCTATAAAAACCCAGCTGACTGCCATATGTGGTGAATATCATTTGACATAGAACCCATTCAGTGATAAATGTCTAACACCACACAGCTATGCTGCTTTGCTCTAAATCTACAAGTTTGCATGAGACATTCTGAGATTGAAATAAGAATAGAATGCCTTTCATGGTAAAACTGGGACTTAGGGAGTCCCTTTTTTTCTTGATTTCGCTTACAATCAGTGGAAAGAATTGTCATCAAGGCTGTATTGAGCAGGGAGAAAATGGCAAATTATACTGCGGTTTTCTTATCAAAGTAAGCAAATAGCATAGAAACATGTAGAGACTTGAGATCTAGGGTTATTGTTCTGAGGTGTAATTCTAATTCTTTCAAAGCTTTGGGTTTCATGCTGCCTGGTTTCCCAAAAGAAAAATGATTTAATTCATATTTTCTCATACAGCTTAAAAAAAATAACTATATGATGGTGTAATACAGATGCAGTATTGCCACCACTTCTAAAGGTAAAGCTTCTATCCATAATCCCTTTAACTTATTGTTTCACTAATGTGCATGTTTGAAACTTTTAAGAAAGGTTACAAAGATCTCACATCTTTGCAGTTTAAATTAAATAAATCGCTCCAAACAGATGTTACGGGGGTTGTGTCTAACCTATGATCCCGCTATCCTTGCTCTCAAGTGTGGAGCTGGGGCTGGTGATGGTTCCACAGGGGCTGGAGCGGCTGAGTGGGGGACGGCTCGTGGTGCTGTTGAGGGTGGAACATGGACTGTCGGTGCTGGGAGATGCCGTGCTACTTGTCAGTGTGGAGCAGGGGCTGATGCCCTGGCTGGTCAGAGGGCACTAAGGAGAAGGAACATGAAGAAATTTTGTGTTTAGCTTCACTCATCACAGCTGATGGGGAAACATGATGCACAGACAAACTCTACTGGCAACAAGTTCAAAACTCTGAGGAGCAATGAAAATAATACAAAATGTTTTCAGTACCTTATTTGGAAAGAGAATTTAGATAATGGTGTAAATGGAAAAAGCATTTTAAGATAAGATCTAATCTCGCTTTGTATTTGACCTGTATCATGTGAAAGCAATGCAGGGAATTTCGTTAAATAAGCACACGTTTCACATGTGAGCATGACACACAAGCCGAAGGGCATAAGAACTGTAAATGGCATAAGGCTTAAAAATTACACACTCATACACATATGTCTGGAGGATCCAAAATAAGCCCAAAGCAAATTTCACAAGGGTATAAAAACTCCACTTTGCCACTACACAAAAGATACCTTTCTAATGTCATCAAGCCTGTCTGACAGCCATTCAACAGTTGAAGCTTTTGTTTGAGAAAACCGACAGCCGTTTCAATCCAAATTAAAGCTTGTTTGCCCCGTTTCACCATTTCCCTTCAACACGATAACACTGTAGCTCAAGGTCATCATGGCCTGATTGTGGGAAGAACTGAACCAACAAACAATGCCTGATTCTCACTCAGCAACTTCTTAATCCATATTTAGTTCAGAGAATTAGACACACCCGACAGAACCAACACAAGCTCTTTAGATAATTCTACACTAAACAAGTGAATCATACCGCAACATGGTGAGACTTGGTTATTATGCATCCACATTCATCAATCACCCCAATGAACGCCTTTCTTAAAAGCAACTGATACAAGTTCAGGACTTTCAACCAGAGATAGTTTCTCCTGTTGCATATACCCATAAACAAACAATATGAGCTGGTAAGCACTGGAACAACTTCAGTATTAATGCATGTATATGACATTAATGACGTTATTTGGCTCCAATAGAAACTAAAACCTCTCTGCTACTTCAAAGATATATCTCTTTTTTTGGCATCAATGAAATAGAACTTTATATTTCTAAAATGAGGAATTTGTTAGACTTCTATCCAACAGTTGCTGTTGTAAAAGCTTTATGCCACAGGACAACAAACAGCCAAGTAAGATGGTTGCTAAATGGTTAACACGAAGAACAACTTGAGTCCTGATGTAATCGAATAGCATCCTCTTTTATTGTTAGCACCATAGTACAAGTGAAACACCTTGCCGACATGCAATAATTAGCTTCAAGTCAATGCTAAAACATGCCGTGTTAAATCCATGTTGTAAAACAGCAGCATGAAAGAAAACAGAACTGCTGGCAGATGACAGAATTGTGCTTTGGAAACACATATGTGCTTGAACAAAAAACAAAGACAAAGTCAAAACCATTACATTCCATTACAGTCCGTCACCACCTTTGACATCTCACTAATGACTGTGATTTATGAAACATTTGTTCTCGTTCATAAAAATCGCCAGTTTAGTTTCAAACATGTCCAAGACGCATGATGAATGAGGGAAGCATGCAGGGCTCTGCTCTTCACGCAGTCCCAGCTTAATTAGTAGAGTCAAACAAACTGAGGCTCAGACCTAACATAACTCTATTTCTGGACACAGGCTCAGATACTCCAGTTACATTCTCAAGAGCCCCTGAACCAGCACTCAAGTTACTGGGAAACCAACACACAACACTAAAGAGCTAGCACAGAAATAAAGCATATGCAACCAATTTCAAATATGCAGATACTTTGCTCAGAGCATATTTAACAGTTCAAACTAGACTGGCTGACAGTTACTGTTGCTGTTTGTGCCAAGGAAATATGTTCCAAAAGTACATCTTAAAATGCTGTCCATGATGTAAAGAGCATAAATAAATCAAACGGGAAAAAATAATCCTTTTAACTACAGTGTGACAACCGGCCTCTCCACTCGTTAGGTCTCGCATTTCTATTAGTGTGCTGCAGCAAGGGCAGCAGCCTGTGCCGGCTGAACGGGGGAGTTGGAGGGGAGGGAGAAAATTAAATACCTTCTTTTCATTCTTGTCATCCATAGGTATGCGTGCCGTACCCGGGATCCCTTCTCCCAGTAAAAATCCCAGTCTTGTCATCAGTTCCTGAGTGGCAGGGGAGGAGGAGCTTGGCTGTTGCTCTGCTTGCAGCGCTGAAGACAAGAGGAGGGGGGTAAACATAAGAGGGAGAAAAATGCTCAGCATGAACAGAGAAGACTCCCTCTCCCCGCTGGATGGCCCGCACAGGGCCAAGCTGCCTGCCCTGCCCTCCTCGGCTCTGCTTTGAAATGCTGTGCTGCACTCTCCAGCAGCTGCTGATGTGCTGCAGACCCGTAGCGGGCGAGGAGAGAATACGAGTGAGGGAGAGAGAGTGGAGGAGGCTGTGGCTTCAGTGTGTGTGTGTGTATGTGTGCATACACGTGGATGAGCGGTTTGCAGAAAGAGTCTGAATTCATGTGAATGTCTGGCATTGTTAAGAAAGCAGAGACTATGTGTGTGTGTGTGTGTCCAGCAACATGCCTTGAGTGCCAATTCCAGGGCTTTCTGGTTGTTCACAGCTTTCATTCATAAAGCCTCTGAATATCAATGAGTGAATAGTCTTTCTCCAGCATTATATTAGTGAGACATCCTGACATCTATTTTCTGTTTTATATGCTACATTTTTGTATCCTGAACCCCCAAAAATACTATTGAGTTGAAAGAAATAAAAAGTGTCCGATCATAATCCAAGTGCGTAGTATGCAAATGTGGTTGTTGCATTTCAATAAAGTCAAAGTCTTATCTCTGAGTTGGCAGTCGGTTTGATGACGGGGCATGAGGCACTGAGAGCAAGTCACAAAAACCTATTATACAGCTCTCTGTCAGCACCTTCTCCTCCTCTCTTTCATTTTCTCCTTTACCCTCTATGTTTCAAAGTTATTAATAACGTTGACAGTAAATCTGATTAAATACAAACAAGTTCAGCAGGCCTCCAAGACACCAAACACGCAAGTCTTTATATGACTCAACCATGTGACAAAAACAACCATAACAAAGGCCATGGGAGATAATGCTTTGTTTAATTCTTATCATGAAATTCCAACGCGAGAATTGGAAACTATCAAATTACTTAAACTTTTTTGGGGGACAATTGTGTCAGAGGATTTCCATCCATTACTTAGCCAACACTATTTCTTTGCAGTGCCAGAAGATGTTGTAAGTTTTGCCCCGTTTCATGGGCAGGCAGCAAACTCAACTAACAGCATACACAGACTCAAATAACACGAGGGGTAAATCTATAGTAAAATAACTGGGGTTTATTTTGTCAGGATATGAGATGGAACAGACAACTATGCTGTAATTAAGTCACAAGAAGTATTCCCCGTTTTATATGACAAAAAAAAGAGAAAAATATTACAGGGCAGGTATAGAATGCTTTTTTCTTAACCACATATCACTGAAAATTAACTAGACTATCTACAACTCCTTTTATTTTCTCAAACAAATGCACGTTCATACACTGTGAGTAGCATTCCTTTGCTAACCAGTCGCATTTTGCAAAGTATTAGGGGCATATTTGGCTTCCCTTGGATGAGGGAGACATTTTTATGTCCCTGTCCAGTGATCTCCCTTTGAATCAACATTTCGGACTTGAATCTTAGTTTCTATATAACAGCTTGTTTTACGATTAGTTTTGAAAGAATGAAAACCAGACAACACCACCTTAAGGTTTAGTGGGTATACACAACTATTTGGTTTGTAGGTTATTGTGAGCCAAACATCCCGAGTTCAACTAAACTGTGAGTCATTTTCCATCTAGTTTTTAAATGACAGCAATCTATCAAGCGATTGACTGAGGAAAAAAGCTGATTAATCAACTGTGAAAGTCATCAGCATCTGCAGCACAGACCCATCATAGCTAAATGTTTTTTGTTTTTTTTTGTATGGTGGCTGTTAAGACATACAACACATACCAAACCAGTTAATGTAAGAATACTATGGGGTTCCTGAACCTTCCTAAACATTTGGCAACCTAATGATGTAATCGTACTTGTGATCCTCTCTCATAAACACTGTGGTTGAGAAGAACAAACAAATTCATAAAAGGACTTTGTATAAAACTGAATTAGCCATCACCACATTTGTCTTCAGTCTTCATCCTTACACCAAGGACAGGGTAAATAAGGCAACACAAATGTCAGTAATGCAAGGCAGGTACACATCTGCAACTTGAAGCAGTGCAGAAAATATTGACTACTGTCTATTACTGTCTCTGACACAAATGCCTACTGGGTTGCATAAATATATCATTCCTCCTAAAGGAAAGCTCCTTTGATTTTCTGAAGCTGAAATATTCCAAAGGCCTTAGAGGACACATTGCAAAGACTCCATAAGTCTAGAGGCTTTTCAGTGAATCAACTGAAGCTTTTGTCCATATAGTGACAGGCATGTTAAATTAATACCTGCAGTACTTGCATCACCATTTCTCTATTTGAAAATACAATGCAATAAGAAGCAACTCAAAATCTATTCTTTAGAGAGAATGTTTCGCTGGATGTTTAAAACATTCGATGAGTCCATTACGAGATCATTTTGAATGTAGGCAATGATGACTATCTAATCAAGCGGATACAAGTCCGCAACGAACAATTTTATCAAATCGAATGAAAATAGAATTAAAGAATAATTCAAAGTTAATTGAAATGAGCACTGTGTATGTTGTTAATTAAACAAAAAAATGGCCTTGGTTTAATCCTTTGAGTGTGCAGCCACATATTGTACATAAATTATGAGCTTTTAGTCTATGCTTAGAGTATGATTTAAAAGTTGCATCCTAAGCATTAAACAAAAACTCCATCTATTGGATGGAATGCTTTCAGTGTGGCTCAGTGTGGTACATCTGCAAGGACGTCTAGTGAATGCTGAAAAAATGTTTATCAATAAATGGCTTCCTTTTTTGATTCAGTGCAGCTGGGATGGTAAAATCTTAATTTCTTTAACTGAAAGTTGATTCAACATGTGGTCCCTGAAAGTTGCATGGTGCATCACAGATTTTCACTGGAGTAAAAACATCCTGCATTTGGTAGGATCTCTTATTACAGTCGTTATCCATGCCCTTATTAGTGGGCCCAGGAAAACCCCACTTCATTGCGAGTTCTTCAAAGCCACTTATCCTCTTCTGTTTTAAGTCCTAACAAGTACCGAAGACATTTGGACAATCCCTGATATAAATGCATCAGTATGGACAGACATAACAACACAAATAGCTCTTACATACCCCTAAGGACCCCAGACTAAATCAATGACATCTGCAGTAACTAGTGGTTTTGAAAATAAAGACACTGTACTAAGAACACAAATTCAATGCACTGCCACAGCTAGACACCATATTTACGCTTTCAAGGAATTGCAACTGTCTGTGTTCCTGCTATAACAGTCAGGTTATAGAATGGCGTGTATAGCTTATCTTGTTGGATTGCAAGTATTGACGATGTTGTGAAATGCCTGTATGATTCACTAGTGTATCTGTGAATAATAAAGCAGCAGTGGGACAGTGGTACGGTTCAGCTGAGTGGACACCACTGGGTTTGTTTTATGAGGGTTGGGCATTTATCACCTATTATTACTTTACCGTAAACAGAAATGACAGGCAAATTCATTAAAACCATTATAAAAAATAAAGCACAGGCAAACTTTAATTGGCTTTGGCTCATTCATAGTATCAATATACTGTAATTTATACTTTCCTTTTGTACTCAGGTGCTAAAAATGAAAAACTTCAAAGAGTTTCATCTGCCAAGCGACTCCTCTATGCACTGCTATAAATGTGTTGGTCCAGGACATCTTAGGTTCTTGACAGGAGAGACGCACTCTTATAAGCTGTGCTTTCCTTCCAGATTAACCCAAAGCGCAAATTGATCAAATAAACCACCTTAAAATAATAAGCCCAATGCCTCTTAACGGATACATCTAAAGCCCCGCTGAACCAATGTTTCCTTTACCAAAAATAGATTATATCCATTTAGTCAGTGCTTCACTTACTGTGTAGCAGTATTAAATTAATACAAGTATACTGCGAGTGATGGTTCATATAAGCCTGTTCACCTGTTAGATTAACTTGTCTTTACTTCCACAAAACCTTTCCAATTAAACACTGTCAGCATTTGGGCTCATCACGACTGTGATGGCTGTACAAAGCATTCAGTGCAAGCGGAACTAGAGGTTGCTATGCAATATTTCTCCCACTCAAGGGCAAACTAGTTTTAAGGCCAGTCGAGTGTTGAACCATTGTGCATTTTTGCCAATAAACAGAGCAAAATAGTCTGGAGTAACACAAAGGGATGGCTTGTGCCTCTAAGCTAAAGAAACTGAGTTCAAACGACAGAAAGATCTTGCGTCTCATCAAATTCTTCCGCCATATGTTGTCACCCTTTTTCTTGCAAAACCACTTTCTAGGATTTAAAACTTACAAACCTGAGAAAAATATAGAATTCCAAGAGATAGTATTACATGCAGTTCATGTCAAATAACAATAATGATTATGAAGAGGGAATATTTAAAGCTGATACTTTGGTTTGATTATTTCAACACTGTATCATAAGTGGTCTACCTGTCACAGGGGATTACCTGCCAGATGGCTGTCGGGGCTTGCCTCACATTTAATCACAGATTAGCTGTGCTGTCGTTTCATGATGATGCAAATCTATCTTGCAAGTTATCACTCATTAGTTGATTGATTCTTGACTGGCTGTTTCTGAATTCATAAAGCAGGCTTGTAAACACTGTGGTTGGGTTTAAATGCATGCAGTTTTAAATTCTACACTCAAGATTTCTTGGTGAATAAGTTTTTCTAACTGTCTACCCTGCGGTGATCAAACTTGACATATTTTAAAAGAGAAACAATAAATGTAAAAAATGATAAACTAAAAAACAGAAGCTCTGCAGGTTACTGTAATGAGTCATGTGGAGGCACTGGGTTAAAACACAACTCATGAAATCCTCCTACAGCATATACCACCAAGGATTATGTCAAAACAAGTAAATAAATTATAAGCAAACTACAATCACACAATAAATTAAATGTATTATTCTATTTCTTTCATCATCATCATTTAAGTTATTTTTACTGAATCCTAATTGGAGGCCTATGTATGAAGAAACATAAGGAAACTAT